AAATAAAGTTTATTAAAGAACTGATCAAAAGTGTAAAAAAATGAATCAAAAGGCCGAAAGACATCCTACAAATTTAGACAGAATACATTTAAAGCCAAAAAGTGCCAGGTTCCCCTAGAACTCATCGGACAAAAGAACCGTGCTAAAGAAAATTCCGACTCACTGTTCACAGAGGTGAAATCTAGAGGGAAAATCTGGAGAATGAGAGGTAACATTGGATAACGCTAAACACATTTTACAACACAGCTACAATAGTTATACAAAGAATAATAATCCGAGTAAGTAACTCTTGAATTGGACAGATTGAAATCTGACGTTAGTACAATACAAACTTGATAAGTTAAAGGATGGCCATCACAAGTAGATTTAAAAAGCACCTTCAATCCTTTCTCATGTGTGAAAGATACATTCCGAAGTCTCTTACATAAAGTGCATAAAATAAACATCATTAATTAGCCAGACCTCCTCCAATCTAGCAGGTATCTAAGATCCTGGATACGGTAACCTTAGACTAAAGTTGTCGTTCGAAATACATGCCGCTAAGTATCTTTATCACTCCGGCATGTACCTCTGCAAGGGCGAAACGGTTAATTACACTCAAAAAAGGCTGATTCATACACAAAGAATTGAAGTCGCTAATCAATCCAAATGGGTTCAAAACAAACACATGAAAATTGATAACTGGCCAATCTTCAACAAATCAAACAGGAACCACTTTTACATGAAAGCAAATTACACCAAATTTAAGAATCACTACATTACAACTAGCTGAAGGCAACATAATCTACAATATAAATCAATTACAACTAAGTACATTACCTTTCTGTTACAATGAGCTCCACACTAACTAACTACCCAAAGCAAAGTGAACTCAAAGACAAAAATGAACCTGTGGGAACTCGAAAAGCTAACTCGGCAAAAACTAAATCTATCCACCATTTCCTCCCTATACAGACTACCATTGTTATAATTGCTGACATTGAAGACTGAATACATTGTTGATAATAATAACCTATTGTTTTTTCATGGGAACGCTATTGAATTGTGGCTCGGTATCTGGCAACGGTAGCTTAAACGGTGTCTCAATATACGGTAACGGAACTTCTTGTTTGAAATTTGAAAGCAGACATCTCAGATCGCCCCTTTGGGAAATCGCTGAATGGTGCACATCAGACAGGGGTTTTCCAACATCCAAAGGTTTTTTTATCGAACTCGTACATGTAACAAAAAAAATAATGTATTAATATTGTTCCTATGGTTAAACTGAAAAAAAAAACAAAAGAAATACAACAAAAAAACAAAAATCAGATTATCCTATAAAGATTACAACACTAAAATAAAAACGACTCTAAGTTGAAAAATCAGATTATCATCCTATAAAGAGAAACATCCTAAAATAAAAGCAACTCTAAGTTGAAATCCTTCTAATCTCCGCCCCTACAGTCAAAACACACCTCGATACTTACACATCCACGCCCCTGGCGCTCTAGATTGTAATAGTTAAATTCAAATTATGCACCATCGAAATGTGGGTAGTTTAGACACGGGGTTTTTTTTTTTTTTTTTAAACAGAGTGAAGTTAGCAATGTTAGTAGAAGATGAGAAAAGACGTTGAAAATATGTAGTTGAATTATTTGAATCGAAGACCATCCTACAAGATAGATTAATAAAAGAAGTAATGAAGAAATTGATCTTTGACGGAAGCAGACACCTTCTTATCCCTTCCTGTTGGCATTTCCCGATCCCATGCCGCTAGAACCCCGCACAACGCTGACACTAGGTGGTGGAAAAGGGTAGACTAAATTGCGAACAACCTCTTGGTCATCGGAGTCTTCATCTAAACGAGGTCTCTGAGCAACCACAGCGGAAACAGGTTCCGAGAAGGTTCTTGGCCTCTTATCTCCCGCCACATCCTGACGTTCTAAAAACTTGAGAGCACCATCAACATCCCGAACTGGACAAACGGCCCACAATGCCCTAATACTTTGCGGATACTGACGCATAATATCGGCTACAATCATTTCCTCCGGAATAGGTGGTTGGAAGGCTCGGAACAGGGAAACCTGCTTTAAAAAATACTGCGGCATTGACAACCCTCCCTCTGCAATGAACCGTTTGCTGGTCAATCGAGTTCTCTCAGCGTGTTGTTGATCTATTGACCAAAAATATGCTAGGAAATCACCCTTGAAATGTTCAAAATCTCGCCAACTCTTCCCACGGACACTCATCCAATCCAAAGCGGTTCCTATTAAGCAACCCCGAACAACCTCTAACTTCTCCACTTCATCGAAACGTGCTAAACGAAAATACCTATCAAAACGTTCCAAAAAGATTACTGGGTGAAAACGAACTGGATTAAACAGTGGCTTCTCAACCAAAGGACCAACCAAAGATCGTTTAGCCAAGGACATAGCGACCTCCTTCCACTCGGAAACATTCACTCTATCAATCACCCTAGATGCAGCAGCAATAGGTTGTGGAGTAGAAGAAGCAAGGGGGTTAACAATACACTGACCTGTTGGTGGTTCGCACAATGATGGAGCTATCACGGTGGCTTCTGCGGGAACAGCGCTGGGACTGGCGGTGGCATTGGATCGCGTCAATTGCACCAACGAGTTGAGAAATTCTTGGTTGACCTTCCTCTGATCCCGTACAAACTCCTCTAACGTAGTAGCTTGCCTCTGCACCATCATCTTCAAACAATCCAAATCGGTCATAGGCTCCGTAACAACCTCAACTTCGGTGTCCGCTGGTGGCGTATCAACAAAAGGCATGGGCACATCCATTTCCAACGTTGGGAACCTAAAAACACAGACACGGCAGTAGGTCTGACAAAACAAAACACAAATTAGTAAACAAAATCAAAACACACAAGATTCCTCCTTTCACATAGCAATGGGACAAGGTTATCCTGGTCACGGCACCAAAAATCTGTGATGTACCCAAGTCGACAGCTCCCGCGCTAACGAAAGCGGGAAAAACACGAACTCGGAACACCTGCGTAGTAACACAAACCTCGCACTCGACAATGCCGGAACCCCTACGTTGTGGAAAGCCAGGTTGCACTCACTCGTACCCATGCTAATTATCGGAAAGGCGGAACGCAAATAATACGCTTAATTGAATTTGAAACACAAATAAAGTTTATTAAAGAACCGATCAAAAGTGTAAAAATGAATCAAAAGGCCGAAAGACATCCTACAAATTTAGACAGAATACATTTAAAGCCAAAAAGTGCCAGGTTCCCCTAGAACTCGTCGGACAAAAGAACCGTGCTAAAGAAAATTCCGACTCACTGTTCACAGAGGTGAAATCTAGAGGGAAAATCTGGAGAATGAGAGGTAACATTGGATAACGCTAAACACATTTTACAACACAGCTACAATAGTTATACAAAGAATAATAATCCGAGTAAGTAATTCTTGAATTGGACAGATTGAAATATGACGTTAGTGCAATACAAACATGATAAGTTAAAGGGTGGCCGTCACAAGTAGATTTAAAAGGCACCTTCAATCTTTTCTCAGGTGTGAAAGATACATTCCGAAGTCTCTTACATAAAGTGCATAAAATAAACATAATTAATTAGCCAGACCTCCTCCAATCTAGCAGGTATCTAAGATCCTGGATACGGTAACCTTAGACTAAAGTTGTCGTTCGAAATACATGCCGCTAAGTATCTTTATCACTCCGGCATGTACCTCTGCAAGGGCGAAACGGTTAATTACACTCAAAAAAGGCTGATTCATACACAAAGAATTGAAGTCGCTAATCAATCTAAATGGGTTCAAAACAAACACATGAAAATTGATAACTGGCCAATCTTCAACAAATCAAACAAGAACCACTTTTACATGAAAGCAAATTACACCAAATTCAAGAATCACTTTACCCTGCATTACAACTAGCTGAAGGCAACATAATCTACAATATAAATCAATTACAACTAAGTACATTACCTTTCTGTTACAATGAACACCACACTAACTGACTACCCAAAGCAAAGTGAACTCAAAGAAAAAAATGAACCTGTGGGAACTCGAAAAGCTAACTCGGCAAAAACTAAATCTATCCACCATTTCCTCCCTATACAGACTACTATTGTTATAATTGCTGACATTGAAGACTGAATACATTGTTGAATAATAAACCTATTGTTTTTTCATGGGAACGCTATTGAATTGTGGCTCGGTATCTGGCAACGGTAGCTTAAACGGTGTCTCAATATACGGTAACGGAACTTCTTGTTTGAAATTTGAAAGCAGACATCTCAACTTAAAGCATAATCGACGTAAGGGAATGTCGGCCAGTTGTTATACAGTTGTACGAGTGCGCTAGATATTGAATGATAAATTGTGATGTCTAGGACAAAAACCCCTATCCCCGCACATGAACCCCCGGATTAGGTACTATAATCCCCGAACAATTTAATACATACCTATATGCATTCCCGGAAAATTAATAATAATAACCTTGAGGAGTTGGATATTCAATGCCTTAACCTTCAAATAACCTACCTAGTGTCGAGCACTGTTGGGTGTCGCGTTCCCTTTGAATTCCTTAAGAATTTTTGTATGGTTTGCTTTAGAAACAAAAATCCACACGGAAGTGTAAACCATCAAACTGTAGAAAATGCCATGGGGGTTTGTTGTCTCTCTGGGGGGTTCATATAGAAAGGTTTTTGCCCGGGGAGATTTTGGTCGGAGGTTATTGTCCTGTACCGGATCTTTATTTGTAATTAGAAAATTAAGTTAATTGCGTGTTCAAGCTGATTCAAGACAGCTTCGAGTTTTTAAGAAAAATGCCTTCAGGTAGCATAGGATTAAGGGGTTATATTTTCAAGTCTCAAAAACGGCATTAGTAACCTACTCCCATCACCATTCACTCGCTACAGTAGCGCCTCTAGTGTTAATCTGAATCGCGAATGTGCTAAAATTGTCTCATTTTTGTAACGTCCTGTATAAGCAATCTTTCCACTGCGCACTTCTATTCGTACACTATCGGTGACATACGCCAACTCCATGAATCAGTGTAGTGCAGATTCTCTTGTTTTGTCTAAGTGCGGGTGCAAGTGTTTTGTAATATTTTCGTTGTATCCAGTGCAGTGCACAAAAGTGTGAACAACAATTACCGACTTTGCGTGCTTTTTCGGTGCTCCAAGATAAACGCCCCGATGCAGCAAAACTGCGAAAAGTACACCACCTTCAGCTGCAGTGGAGGCTGTAAATGCGCACTGGGTGCGTGTCCTGCAAGTGGCGGTAAACAATTTTAAACTTGCCCTTGTATGCCTCAATTATGGACTGTGACGAAACTAATTCCTCCGTGGTCTTTTACATTAACGGGGAATGTGTCAAGATCGAATCCGACTTGGAGGACATCGTAAAATTAAAAGGTACGCTAATCGCCGACTTATCGGGTGTCTTTTGAAGTGACTTTGCAGAGAGCGATACCTTCGCCGCAAACTACATTAAAATGATGGTCGACAACAACTTTATCGAAATTCCCGAGCTCAAAAGCATCGAACGACTTTACGAGGATGGCAGGTATGAAGTATCGTCTACGAATAACCATGTCGCTATATACCTGTTTTAGCATCTCCGACATATATAATTCCCAAAAAGAGCCAGAGGTCCTAAAGGCAGGTAAGGCATTTATTAGGGAATGGGTAGAGTGTGTTCTGTATTGTAATGCCACTCAGTGTACACCTAACCTAACAATTTCTTGTAAATTTAGATACAGGGTGTTTCAGAACGAACTGAACAGTGGTAAACAATAACTCTGTAATCACTCTACCAAAAACGATAAAAAATAGTCTCATTTAATCGATGTAGTGCAATTCACTATTGTCTTTTTGAATGGGTATACTGATTTAGAGAGAGGGCGAAATTGTCCCCTCCAAAATTCGTTGTTTTGCAATGCACCAAGCACATTATTTAATCTTCGCTCCAAAACTTTGCCAAGGCTTTCCCTAGGCTTTTGAGTTACATTAGCACGCACGTTTGAGTCTGGGTTTGCAGTATGGAGGTTTATTTGTAGGTATAGTAGGTTTCTCTCTCTTTCTACCTTGACCTATACGCAAGATCAAGAATGAGACGAAATTCAGTTTCAAGTGGACTAGTTCCAAGTGACTGTTCTTCTCTCGCGTTTCCTTTTCCCTCTTTCTCTCGCAAATTATACAGAGTGGAAATTTTGTCTGGACCAGTGAACATATCTCGCAAAAATTTTTTTAAAGAAGGTTTTTATGGAATCCAAACTTTGCTACATAGGTAGTTTAAAGCTGTAGTCAGTGACGTGAGGCAAGTTAAACTTGGAACATATATTTTTTAATAGCAACCACTATTTTTTTTCAATTTCTCTCCTCTCTCTGCGCCTCTCTGCAAAATTTTTGAATATTCAGTGGCCCAGACAAAATGTTCACCCTTTATAAAATGTTCCAGGGAAGTCCATGACTATGTAATGACCTCGCTCTCTGTCCTATTGTTCCTCCTTGTTCTTATAACATTCTCCCAATGGATCTTAATTTATGACATCTTAATTCTGCTTAGGAAAGGATTTGCCCAAGGGTCCTTCTCTTCCTCCCGTTGCACAGCGTCCCCTCGATTCTTTCTTTTATCTAAAAGGATCTCGTCAAAAATGTTCTTTCCCTTCTTCTTCCCCTTCACTTTCTTTCCTTTATTGTCTTTCTATCTCTACTGAAACTTTTCCGTATTCCTCTCATTCTATTTCTGGAACTAGTTTTATCCTTCATGGTACTCTAATGAAAGGTCTCAACGAAAGGAATTAATTTCTACCAACCATAGCCCTCCTCGACCTCTTATCGTGATCGGGTATATTCCCATACACCTCAAGAACGGATTGTCGGAAGAGGGTACTCACAAAGGGCGATTGACACGTCTGCAAGAAATATATTCATTGGTCATGTCAAAACAAAATATATTTCGGTTAAAAAAATTCGCTTTATCTGCACAACTTATACTTGTTTTTTTTTGGAAGAACATTTTCAAGTGAGATTCTTAACTTTCATTTAGTGGCTTTTGAATGGTCGATTCTCTCTTCTTCTTCACATTTTTTGCTCTTCTTCTTCTCTAACTCTGCCTTCCTAATGAAGAACCACGCGCTAATTTTGGTCTGATGGCATTTACAATTCTGTTTCTCACACTTTGTGATTTCATAAATTGTTCCAAACATCTCCGAGTCTTTCCTTCTTCAGCCCTTGTCTTTTGAAGTTTGAACCTTTCTTTTCCCCTCTCCCTCTTTAATTTCCTTTCCTCCAAATCTGCATGCATCCTTAATTTCAAATTACTTTACTTTACAAAGTCCTTCCCAAGGATTATTCACCAGTCGTTTCCAATTACATTTGTGCCCCTCTCCCCGCCTTTCCATCTTATTCCTCATTCCCTTTCTCTCCTCACTAACTTTTTGTTATACTCCTTCAATTTTACTAAGACCGCCCACAAAACTGCGCTAATAGCTTAAATCGGCCATCTTTAATCATTAGCTAATCAACTTCGACTAGTTCAATAAATCACACACACCTAAATGCCGATCGTTTAACATTGCACGATGCTCCCCCAATATCATTATGCGTCATCCTGATTTAGTTGTGTTAGTAACGTAAACGGCATTAAGATTGTGTTATCGCCCGTCAGACTGACGCTGATATCTCTCCCCGGGCCATTAACCGTTCTTGACGAATTCAGTAGCCATTGAGTCACCAAATTCATTGTGAATCAGTGAATCCCTTCCCCGAAAAAAAATTGTCTTAGATCGTCCCGAAAAATTTTTCTTATAGAACGTGGCCTGTAGAATCCATAATTTCAAACAGCTCCAAGATTGGGCTACTAGTTCAAAAGTTACAGCCCTTTGAATTTTCTTTCGAAATTGGTTTCTAGTCTATAACTTTTGATTGAAAAATCTAATCGAAAAAGTACGATTTGTTTTGGATTCTACGCACCAAAATTAATAAGAAAAAGTGTTTTCCCGAGAAATTTTGGTGCAGTCGATTTTTGGAAAAAAGGAAGGTTATACACTGCGTTTTTTTTGCCCCGAAAAAAAAATTGTCTCAGATCGTCCCGGAAAAAAATTTTTCTTATAGAACGTGGCCTGTAGAATCCATAATTTCAAACAGTTCCAAGATTGGGCTACTAGTTCAAAAGTTACAGCCCTTCACCCCTGGATCCTTCAGCCCTAAATCCATTTAGAAGGGTTGGTAGGGTTCCCAGGCCCCAAAGCATCCATTTTGATCAAATACCGAAGATGTACTATAATATGGATTTCTTTAGAATCGGAATGGGGCGCACCGGAAACGGAACTATTGTTAAATAAATACAACCACTACATACGCCGTGTTGGGTTGTTGGACATATTCAAGACGAAAAAGAAAATGTGGATGCAAATAGCCGAGGACATAAAGGCCGCCTTGAAGATATCGAAGACCGAGACGCAATGCGAGAATCGTTACAAGACGATCATGAAGAGGAAGAAGAAGGTGGGCGGTGTCAGGTTTAGAGTGAACAGGGTTAGTGAGGAGGAGGGGTAAGATCAATTGGAAATCGGACACTATATCTGCATTGTGTCTTTCTTTAAGCTCGTGCGATATTTTGGAATCTATTGATGACACAATGGAGATCGTAAGAACAGGTAGGTCGAATTATGAGGAGACGTTGGGAAGCTGCCTTATTCGCAATTGCTATTCCCCCTCCTACTGAATTTATCTAAATGTAGATTGGAGTGATCCAGAAACAAAACTGTTACTGCACAAGTATGAGCAGCATTCGCCGATGGTTGGACCGATGAACAAGTTTAAGACGTGCAAGCAGATGTGGATCAAAATATCCGAAGATATAAACCACATACTGGGGGTTGCGAGAACGGAGACCCAATGCGAAAACCGCTTCAAAGCGGTTATGAAAAAGGTCGAGGATCCTCTATGTTGCGATGTTCCCGAAGTGAAACTTAGAGCAGTGGAGGATAGCAGGTACGGTAAAAGGCTTGTGACTCGCGACTTTTGTAACCTCATTTTAGGGCTTGCGCCGTTTCCCAATCTGTTGATGACGCGGAACTAGACGCAACTAAATCAGGTAGGGTATCTCTACTATTCCAGAAGTACCTGTAATTGTTTGCGTGTAGATTTAGAATGGGGCGGTCCCGAAACGAAACTGTTGCTCGATAAGTACGAGCAGTATGTATTTATGGTTGGATCGAGGTTCAAAACGAAAAAGAAAATGTGGGCGAAAATATCGGAGGACCTAAAGCAAATCCTGAATGTATCCAAAACGGATGCCCAATGCGAAAATCGCTACAAAACGATTCTGAGACGGAAAAGGCGGGTGGATCATAACTATCACCGAGCTGTCGATTTACGCGACGACGTCAAATTCGAACAGGAACTGTGCAAGATCGTCTTAAGCGAGGAGGACTCCGAATCGGAACCGGTAAGATGCGTTTGTGCTTCTAAGAAAATCCGCAACGATCCGCAAAGAGGTAGAAATCGAAGAAAAAGAAGGTGGGTGGTGCCCGACGCCGGAACAAGCAAGATGCGGGCACTTATGGCATTTCAAAAGAGAATGGAAGTAAATAGAGAGCGTCGGCATAGGGAAAAGATGCAAATGATGGAACAATTACTTCAAGTGCTCAAAAGTTAGTCTTAGTTTACATGTTTCAACTGTCATCTTCAAACATTGTTATAAATGCAAATAATAAATATTTTAAAGTATGCTTTTGTTTTATTTGCTTAACCGTTATAGAGAGTAACTTCAATATTTGAAAAGGTGAGAACGACACTAAAAGAAATTTGATTCGGCTCAACGGACCAATACCTTGATGCGCTCTTTGTAAGTAAATATTATACACGTGGTAAACATGTGGAAATCAGCGCTTATTTTTCTTGATTTTGATGGAGGCACAAATGGGCGACCTAGGCCTGAGTTCTGGCTTTTGAGTATTCCAATAAGCAGGATTTTTGTGTATTCTTATCGATAAACATAACACAAATTTGTTTCATGCAAGTAATTCTCAAAAGTCGGTTCCTTCAGGAATATTAAAATTGCTTCGAACACAATCGACTATTACTTTATACAAATCAATAAATTTAAAATAACTTACAGTTACTGACGTGGTAACAATGAGTCTTATCTCGTATCTCGGAAACGAATTGCTTCGATGGTACAATTGAACTTTTACAGTACCCTGGTAACTTTATTTTTAAATACAAAGTTTGGGAGAAGAAATGTACTTTTCATTTACGATTCAATTCTATATTACCTACTGGATTGATCTTTTAACCGATATTTCGGAGTGGAAACGCATAATTTTGGATTTCCATAATATTTCGCAAGAAAAATTAATTTGTGAATTTAGTCATTTAGAGATTAGAAAGACACTCGCAAATATTTCTACCATACTGGCAGAACTACCCACCATGTCAACTGAAACCAAACGGCTGTGTTTTAACTGGACCCAATTACACGAAGTACGAAGTTCGTTGACATACTTCATTCTATCAATATTGGCCTACCTTTTTCGAGATTTATACCTGGAGATGTATCCATTTGTTTCGGAAACCCAATCGCAAGTAATTTTTATGAAACGGAGGACATTATGTCCTTCCGATTTGTAATGGTCCTAGGGGTCTATCAGGTCGACACTAAAAACGTTAACTTACCCTATACTTATACCGTTGGCAACTCTGGGAAAAAAACTACGAACACAGCCACCTACCTTTCAAGTCGAAACGATGGACGTTTTGCGGCACTTTTGAATTTGTGTAATTGGTTCTGTACGTGTTGGGACGTGAGACTTAATCCAGAAGGGAGTTAAATAAAAGACAGAATGTTGTGCGTAAGAAATGACAAGAACAAATAAATATCTTACGCACACAACAAACCCATACCAGGGAAACCTTCTACGGGACAAAAACCCCGGCATAGACCACACAAATACATGAAATAAATCACCTACAGCATCGAAATGCAAAAGAAAATTCACATAAATACAACATCTCAAATTGTATGACAAAAAAACAGATCAAATCAAATGCTATTAAACAAGTTCATAAAAACAAAATACACAAGACGTCACAAATGCAGTAGAAAACATGATAAATCAATGTAGTACAAAAACACATCAAAATACATGTACAAACAATTGAGATAACACAACTCGTAGAATAATAAATTGCATGTACATAGGAAACATCAAAATAGTGTGGCTCTACTCCAGCCTTCATTAACATAATTTTATATAACACGAAAAGTACCTGTGTGTTGCTAATAGCAAGTATTCATGTGGAAGTCGATCATAGCTCAAGCAAAACATATTTTAAATAGAAGAAATGTTAATTCGAAGACCCCTTCTTAATGTGCGAGACAGAGAAATGAGACGAGCAGGTAACAGATACAGCGAACAATCAAACTGTATTAGGTACTTCCCTCACGGAATAGTTACGAATCAATCGAGCAGAGCAACATCGCACTGACAATCAACTCCTCGTGCAGTTTATGAAAAATCAGCAAAATGTAAATAATATCATATTGTGACAAGAACTTTGAGAGGTTTCACCCTGTATATATACCTACTGTAATACCTGTAAAGGTATCAATTAAAGAACCTCTTAGTTTGGATACTTTATTAGAATTGATTCACTTAGGTGACAATCACCTATGCAGGAAAGTGCAAGTACATAGTTAATTTTATAATAATGAATAACATCACTACAATACCTCCCCCCCCTCCAAGGTTCTACGCTAACTTCACACTACAAGAACACAGAAATAAAGCCAACCCGGCAACGTTTAAAAATTGCCACCAGAATGATTATTCCCTCCAAAACTAAACAAGATCTCGCTTAAATTTGGAAAGTGGCACGTGATCAAACATCTAAGGCAGGGCCCCCTTACGTTAGTTGTAAACAACGCTTTGACCTGAAGTACAGTAGGGAAGGAACGTAAAATAAAAACACTGTAATTGTGAAACGTTTGTTTAATGATGATCGTTCTTATTAAGATTGTGAAAGCTCGAAAATTTAGTTGACGTTTGTTCAAAGCAAGAAAAATTACATGAACTTGTAGGCAAATACCACTATCGGCAAAAATATGTGGAACTTAGCGAATCGTAACTCATTTATCGCACATAGATTCTAAACCGAAGAGTTTTTGATTAGCGTAATCTCGCTCCGGCAAGATAGATAACTCGTCCCTGGTTTAAGGGCGTTAGCTTCAATGGTTACAGTTTACTTACAAACAACAAGTCAGTACACACACAAACAACTCTGTAATTTCCACATATTAAAATAAAATGATCAAAATTTATCTGAATGTTACTTCTGGCCAAGACCATGTAATCAAAACAAACATAAATTAAGCAAGCGTTACACCAAAAACGTAAACGATTACACAATAGGATAACAGTATCAAATATGTAATTCTGCATTAAGGTTAAATCAAGTCAATTTCAAAAACAAAGATTAAATAAAAATATAAAATGCTGCATACAAAAAATACGATATAAAGAAATGCAAAGATTACTACCTGCAAAATATTGGAGTTATGTTGCAATTTAGTAAAAAAAATCGCATTCACAACCAAATATTTTTGGATTCTCTCAATTTTCTGAAGTACCCTACCGAGATGTGATCACCTGCTTTCAAAAGGGGAAAATAATAGCATTGCAGTGTACTTAACCCCCAGGTTCTACGCTAACTTCACACTATAAGAACACGGAAATAAAGCCAACCCGGCAACGTTTAAAAAAATGGCCACCCTAATGACTATTCCCTCCAAAATTAAACAAGATTCCACTTTAATTTGAAAAGTGGCACGTGATCAAACATCTAAGGAAGGGCCCCCTTACGTTAGTTGTAAACAACGCTATGACCTGAAGCACAGTAGTAGGGTAAGGAACGTAAAATAAAACACTGAAATTGTAAAAAGGTTGTTTAATAATGATCGCAATTATTATTGATAGTAACATCTCGCAAATTTAAGTCGAAATAAATTACAGTGCAAAAATAAACTTTGAAAATGGTAGGTCACCGAATAAAAATAGAAATAGGCTGGGAAAAAAGAACATTACACCAAAAACGTAAACGATTACATACATGTCATTCTGCATTGCAGTTAAACCAAGGAAATTTCAAAAACAAAGATTCAAACACACACAAAATGTAAAATGTGGCATACGAAACACATACGATATAAAGAAATACAAAAATTACAATAACACAAAATATCAACAAACATTTATGGAGCGCGTCCACGACCGCCATTCAAAACAAGATCCCAAACGTAACCAACGTTCGTGCGCAAATCGCCTTTCCCTCCTAAAAATTGCGTGGTTGCCAACTCTCAGAAATCTGTGCAGCGACGTATATTGTATATACAGGGTGGAACTTCTCAGCATGTCTGACAAATTTTTAAAGTTCTTCTTAACGCTTAATAATAAAGCTCATTTAACGATTATAGCTCCCTTGTTTTTGCAGAAGCCTATTTGGATAAATATTTTCTCCGACTATGTGGTGGCCCCCTTTTTTTTGTAAAATTAATTTAAATTCAAATATTAGCCAGGTTGCGGACAGCATTTTCCGTTATGTTAGACGGCCATTTATTCTTATAACATAAGAAATATAAATTTTTGTAGAAATAATTTACGGTATGAGGGCTTTTTGTACGATATATTTATAAATAGCGGAACCAATGAAAATGAAGTTCTTATAATGTGTCACTGCGCAGTACCATTGTTTATTAATTTTATATAAACAATGGCAGTACGTAATCACTCATAAATAACATTTTCCTGCTAACCTACAATTGTGCAGTGTTTATGTTGGCGGTAGTTCTTTTCTTTTTGTCTAAGAGCATAGTAGTGAACTTTGAACATTTTAACACAATGTAAAATAAAAGTGAGGTTAAGACTCCTTCAAACTTATAAGCAAAATTGAACACGCCCAGCACACACCGCAACTTAACTTTGCTATAAAAATGTTTTATACTTATAAACTTATATTATAAGGAAAAATGGCCGTCTAACATAACGGAAAATGCTGTCCGCAACCTGGCTAATGATATAGCAGATCTTTATATTACAGCATCTTATTTGTAATATTATTGAGATCATTGGATTAAATCACCATCGACTGTCAACTATTGTTTATGTTCTATCCCCCCCAATCAAGTGTTTTATTTGGTTTTTGGTATTTCCTCCTCCCTCGACATTTACTGAAGTGGCGCTTATTCAGATTACTCTATTAGGTACCATTTTTCCCTTTTGATTGTTGTTAAGAACCCCAATATTCACCCCGACCCACCTCCACTTTGCCCGAGCTTATCTAAGATAATTTTGTTACTTTTACCCAAAGTGAACGTAACAAAAGCGCATTCCAACGAGTTCGTTGTGCTTTTCTGAACTTTGTACTATCGTCTATCACATAAACAAAGCGGGACTGTTTGGTGGGGCAAAAGGCATAAATGAGGTTAGTGCAATTGGACACATTTGATTGAATTGAATATCAAGTGCGTTAATTCAAACAGTTACACAATTGCCACCGGACCACTCGCCATTTTGTATTTCTTTCACAGCAATTACATATTCTCTAGGACAGATTTTGTTTTTCTAGGACAACCACTACTGACCTTTGTAAAGGTCATTGATAAATGAGGAGAAATAAATAAACTGCCATTGTATTAAAATCATAAAAAAAACAATAAACTTAATGTATAATTACCAAAGGATAATTACATTTTTGTAAATTTTCCTAATAATAAAATGAATTTGTACTTCTTATTTAGCTAAAATTAATTAAACTCTAATATTCAAATTATGAGTAGGAGATGCATTCCGTGAGTTTTGCGGAACACAATTTGGCACTAGGAGAATTCGCAGCCGATCAGTGATGGCTGACTCTTAACTCTTCGAGCTGAAAACATTCGCTAGAATTTCGGGTTGGTTCATTTGTCCGTATACCTCTTTTTCCTCGTCGATACTGTCGCTTTCGTCGTCGCTGCCGTGCACCGACGCCACGGGCGTCACGCCTCTACTTGACGACGGACTCGGAGGTTCTGAGAAGGGTCGAGGGTATTTGATTTGTCCGATCGCTTGCTCGCTATCATCTATCCAATCTGGGAAGACGGCCTTGAGTGCTTTGTGACGCGCTTGTCTGTAATACTAAAACAAGGGTAATAAGACATGAACAGTGCAGCCACTGTGGACGATGCAACGCAAGGACCTTTAGCCATTTAGAAAAGAAATGTACAGGGTAGCCAAATAAGAATGCGAGGTACTGTATCTGGGAACCTGTCCATCGTAGAGGCTTGCGGTAAAAAAATTTATTACTAAAACGGCCAGGCGAAAAACCTGGAAAATATTTTTAAGTTTTTGAAATGACCGCTAGGGGGCGTAACTGCAATCTGGAATCTAAAAAAGTGATTTTTCTGTGAATTCCGCTATATTAACCTAACAAAAAAATACCCCGTCTTTGAAGACGACGATAATCTGAACCTTTTTTGTTTGACAATTTTTCCTGTATCTCTAAAAATGAAGTGGTGGGGGGTATTCAATTGTTTCCGTAAAGAACACCCTGTATTTTCGAAACGACTGAGCCGATTTTAACAAACTCGGGTTAATTGAAAAGAGTTATTCTTCGGCTACAAATATTATAATATTTGAAGTGTTGTTAGTTTCACATATCGCCGCTTGAGGGCTTTTTTCGACATTCCGACAGAAATGGTTAATTTTCTCAAAAAAATTAAATGCACTGGTTCGATTTGTTTTCATGAAAAAGTAGCTAAATGATGCCTAAACAAGCTCGCGAAAACCGCATCTCGATATTTTGTTCCTAACCTAAAATTTAGGCCAAAGAAAATTTTATACCCTCAAAATTTTATTTTTTTAAGATAATTTTTCCGGAATTATTTTTATTATATAATTTGTGGCCCTAAGGTGGATCGATTTAAAAAAGGAAGCTTTTAATGCCGCCGTAAATGGTCGAAATGCTGGCCATCACGATATAAAAATATATATATCTATATATCTCAAGATATCGAGATGCTGTTTTCGCGAGTTTGTTTAGGCATCATTTAGCTACTTTTTCATGAAAAAAAAATCGAACCAATGCATTTAATTTTTTTGAGAAAATTAACCATTTCTGTCCGAACGTCGAAAAAAGCCCTCAAGCGGCGATATGTGAAACTAACAGAAAAATACCCGGTCTTTGAAGTCGACGATAATCTGAACAATTTTTGTTTGACAATTTTTCCTGTATCTCTAAAAATGAAGTGGTGGGGGGGTATTCAAAGGTTTCCGTAAAGAACACCCTGTATCTTCGAAACGACTGGGCCGATTTAAACAAACTCGGGTTAGTTCAAGAGAGCTATTCTTAAGCTACAAATATTATACTATTTGAAGTTAGTATAATATTTGTAGCTGAAGAATAGCTCTCTTGAACTAACCCGAGTTTGTTTCAATCGGCCCAGTCGTTTCGAAGATACAGGGTGTTCTTTACGGAAACCTTTGAATACCCCCCCACCACTTCATTTTTAGAGATACAGGAAAAATTGTCAAACAAAAATTGTTCAGATTATCGTCGACTTCAAACACCGGGTATTTTTTTGTTAGGTTAATATAGCGGAATTCACAGAAACATCACTTTTTTAGATTCCAGATTGCAGTTACGCCCCCTAGCGGTCATTTCAAAAACTTAAAAATATTTTCCAGGTTTTTCTCGTGGCCGTTTTAGTAATAAATGTTTTTACCGCAAGCCTCTACGATGAATAGATTCTCAGATACAGTACCTCGCATTCTTAGTTGGCCACCCTGTACAAAGTGTTTTTATCTTCCATTGCATTGACCATAAAACTGAATTCACTTTGTCGCTTACAATTCCCAAATTCCGCCAGTCCAACATGTCGCTGAGACGTTCCGTACGATTTCTCTGTATAATACGCTGCCGCCTGCTCAACCGCGCGAAGTCGAACATGTACTGCGCCAACTGCTGCACGGAATTCTCCAGCCCGATGTACCGCCGGTCCACGATATAAATCCCGTACGACATGGGATCCGCGATGTGCTCCTCCATGAAACAGCCGAAACCTGAAAGATTCCGTTAAATTGAAAGCGGCGAGAGCGACGCGAGACGTCACCAGATAAGTTCGTCGTAACACTCGGAATGCCCATTACCGTACATTCGGCGGGAGTGTAACCCCACGGCTCGTAGTAACTGGGAAATACGCCTAGATGGCAGCCGCGCACGAACTCCTCGTAGTCCAGTCCGAACAGCGGATTCGTCGGATTTAGGAATTCCGGATGAAATACGATCTAGAAATGCAATCACGCTATTATTTGTCATAGATGTGGATGTGGCTCGGGATGTGGGGAAAGTTGCCGCACAAAATCTCGCCTTCGTAGGGAATATATTCGCTCCTAAAAAAATTCACTTCTTGTATAGTCGCCCAAGAATAACTCCCGACTATACATAAGGATGATTCATAAATGGAACTTTTGGAAACACTTCCGGTATATTCCCCCAGAAAAATTCATCGCTATATAAAAATTGGTCCATAAAGACTCGCTTCCCAGATAAATTTCTTTCCGGAGCAGACTTTTGCAGGGAATATACTCGTTCCTAAGAAAATACACTTCAGGTTAATTAATCACTATTAGTGATGATGAGTAAAAAAAATACATCTTGCCTGGGAATATACTTGCTCCTAAGTGTATTCCGTCTAAACTCGTCAACCAGATAAATTCATCTCCGAAGCAGATCTTTCTATGGGAATATACTCGCCCCTACGAAATTTCACTGCCTGTATATTCATCACGGAAAAACTAAAGAAAATTGCTCCTTAAAAACTTGTCTCCCAGATAAATTCGTCTCCGGGACAGACACTTTTCCAGGGAATATACTCGTTCCTGACACTTCCGGTATATTCCCTCAGAAAAAATCATCACTACTTATAAATTGGTACATAAAAACTCGCTTCCCATATAAATTCGTGCCCGGAGCAGTTTTCCATGGAATATTCCCCACTTTTCCAGGGAATATACTCGTTCCTAAGAAAACACTTCCTGTATATTCCCTCAGATTCATCACTATATATAAATCGGTCCATAAAGACTCGCTTCTCAGATAAATTCGTCTCCGAAGCAGATCTTTGTATGGGAATATACCCGCCCCTATGAAAATTCACTGCCTGTATATTCACCACGGAAAAACTAAAGAAAGTTGCTCCTAAACTTGCCTCCCAGATAAATTCGTCTCCGGGACAGACACTTTTCCAGGGAATATACTCGTTCCTGACACTTCCGGTATACTCCCCCAGAAAAATTCATAATTATATATAAATTTTTTCACAAAAACTCGATTCTCAGATAAATTCATCTCCGGAGCAGTTTTCCAGGGAATATACTTGCCCCAACACAATTCACGTCCTATATGTTCGCCCAAGAAAAATTCATCTTAAAAAATTCACTTCCTGTATATCCGTCCCAGAAAAATTCCCCTCACTATACATAAGGATGATCCATAAATTTGGCTCATAAAAACTTACCACCCAGATAAATTCGTCTCCGGAGTACTTTCTCAGGGAATATACTTGACCCAAGAAAATTCATGTCCTATATGTTCGCCCCAGAAAAATTCATCACTAACTAAAGTCGCTCCCACAGATCTCGTCTACGGAGCAGTTTCGCAGGGAATATACTCGCTCCTAAAAAATTCACGTCTTGTATATTCCCGAGTCCCGACTATACATAAGGATGATTCATAAATAGATATTTTGGTCCATAAAAATTCCCAGGCAGACAGAACAATATACTTGTTCCTAAGGAAACACTTCCGGTATATTCCCCCAAAAAAATTCATCACTACATATAGATTGGTACATAAAGACTCACTTCCCATATAAATTCGTGTCTGGGGCAGTTTTCCAGGGAATATTCCCCACTTTTCCAGGGAATATACTCGTTCCTTAGAAAACACGTCCGGTATATTAGCCCAGAAAAAGTCATCACTAGTTATAAATTGATCATAAAGACTCGCTTCCCAAATAAATTCGTCTCCGGAGCAGAACAGACACTTTTCCAGGTAATATACTCGTTTCTAGGGAAACACTTCTAGTATATTCCCCCAGAAAAAGTCATCACTACTTATAAATTGGTACATAAAGACTCGCTTCCCAGATAAATTCGTCTGCGGAGCAGAACAGACACTTTTCCAGGGAATATACTCGTTTCTAAGGAAACACTTTCGGTATATTCCGCCAGAAACAGTCATCACTACTTATAAATTGGTACATAAAGACTCACTTCCCAGATAAATTCGTCTCCGGAGCAGTTTTCCAGGGAATATTCCCCATTTTTCCAGGGAATATACTTGCTCCTAAAAAATTCACCTGAGAAAAATTGTAGAAAAAGTTCACCTCCATAGAAACTCTTCTCCAGAGCAGAAACTACCTGATAATTTCGTCTCCCGAGCAGACACTTTCTTTAGGGATAATAGACTCGCTCCTAAAAAAATTCACTTCCTGTATATTCGCCCCGCAAAAATTCATCACTATACATACAAAAACTTGCCTCTCAGATAAATTCCTTTTCGGACCACACTTTTTTGGGAATATACTCGTTCTTAACAAAAATGTATCACTAAAGTTGCCCCATAAAAACTCACCTCCCAAATAAATTTTTTTAGGAATGTACTCGAAATACCTTCTGAATTTAACTCCAGTTACGAAACAAGAGCGGTGAGCGACTTTTGATCAGTAGCTTGAACAACTTTTCTAAACCACCACAAAAGAGGGACGAGAAACTTTTAACTTCACCTTGGTCTCACACCTCAAGGATTATCATTACCTTGCTAAGCAACGTTTGAACGGTGAGGAATTTTTGGACTTTGAACGGCGACCAACCTTTGAACTTTGAACGGCGAGCAAACTTTGAACTTTGAACGGTGAGCAAACTTTGAACTTTGAATGGCGACCAACCTTTGAACTTTACACCGACTCACCACATCGTTTAGTTTTCAGGCTGCTATTAAAGTCCTAGTCAGGAGGAGATCGAGATCACTTTGACGGCACCTACGTCGAGTTAGGATATACCTATTATCCCTATTTAGCATACACTTGCTTTAAATAATATTATTCGAGATGCATGAATGCGGGGGCCTTATAATCGCTACCTTCCTCCGCGAAACAAGGACGATCAATGACACCGCACACTCATCCTATGTCTCTACCGCCCTTTTGACAAATCGGTCGTCATGGCCTTTATTTGGATATTTTGTTTTAAAGTTACAGTCAAATGGCCTTGACAGTAGAAAATCGGCTTATATTTTAGTTTGAAGGTCACCAAAACCCGATCATCAACAAAGGTGAATGACCTAAGCTTATATACTAACGATGTGTCCTTGAATTAACCTCTAGTCTAGAATACGATCATTTGGATTAAAGAAAGCTGAATTGACCTTTGCACGTCACCTTGATCTACCTCCTAATGTAACCTCCAGGAGCGAAGCAGGGGAGTGAGCGACCTTTGATCGATAGCTTGAACTACTTTTCAAAACTTCCCAAAGTCGTCACCAGGAGGCGAGCAACCTTGGATTGGTCCAGAATCGGCGGTTACCTCTATCTACTAGTCAAAGTCACTAAGGGGAGGTGCCAAACATTTGTATTTCACCTTAACCTACTTTGTAAGGTCACCGCCAGGTGCCGATCGACCTTGAACTTCACCTTGGCATACTTTTCAAGGCGAGCTGTAAACCTCTCCTTTGACCTACAAAAAAAAGGACAATTGACCTCTGACGATCTTGAAGATGAAATATGACAGCAGAAACCATGGAGTCATTGACCTTTGAAATTCACCTTGACCTACTTTCCAAGGTCACCGCAAGGTGGCGAGCAAACTGAGCCAGGTTCGAGCTTGTACGAATAGTGTTGCGGTACATCAATGTTAGAATGCAAAAAAAACTGATTTTGAGATATACAGGGTGTTGCATTAAAAAAATACCAACATTGGGTTAAATCTTTTGCTTTCACCCTATATGTTTCATACCTTAACCCGATCGTACGTGGTATTAAAGAGGTTACATCGGCGCACTGCATTCAAAACGGAATCATTCCAATCGTCAACGACGTTGTGCGTAGTCACCGGGGGCAACCCATCTCTTTGCAGCGCGTAGATACACCGCTTCAATCTCACCATGTCTTCCTTCTGCAACAATTCGGGGGCATCCGGCATACGTCCGCTGTAACAAATTACTCGCACCAACTCCATGAGAGGGGGGGAGGGGCGTACCTTAAGCAAATCTCGTACATCCGCTTCCCCATCCTCTGCTGAATATCGTTGATTGTATCGCGCAAGCTCTTCGTAACCGCGTGGCCGCGTAGAGACTCCACGTTGAAGTTATTCGTCTTCGCCGGAAAGATCAGGAACGCGACGACGGTCACGTCGGGACGCGAGCTCTAAAAATTCCCGTCAACATTTCCCGGTTTACCGCAAACTCGCTCACCTTGAGAAAGTGGTTCAGTCGCGCCAGCGCCTCTATGAAGATGTCCGCGCCCTTGTTGCCGAACTCGTAACGTCCGGCGATGAAGAAGTACAGGGTCTTCTCCAAATCGAAGTCGTAATGTCTGTAAGGGGGGCGAATTACGAAGCTGCAAAAACGAGGTTTCGGGTTACCCGTAGAAGTGTCCTCGGACGAACTCGTGTATCTTCTCCTTCGAAACCGCGTGCAGATTTTGAAATTCGTGGAGCGCCGAAAATTTTTTTACGTTTAAGCCGTTCGGCGTTATCACGTCCGGCTTCCTCTTGAGCAAATGTTCCGCCTCGTAGCCTATAACGAGCAGAGTTTACATTACTCGACGCGTGAAGGATGAAGGTGTGGGGGGCATCAAAAACATTCGTTACTGCATCTTTCACATTCAAATTTACGTAATTTATTTGTCCTTTGTAAACAATTAAAGCTTCCTCCCTCACACCCCCCCCCCCTTCCACTCATAGTGAAAGCCTTATTGCTAAATTTCATTTGCCTACCAATACAACTTCAGGATGGGAGGGAGATGAGAATTTACTACACAAGAGAGGGGAAACAAGAATTATTTGATAATTTGGTGGTGGTGGTAGAATATTTTAAATATTGGTGTAAAGTCACGATAAAGAGAGAAAACAAACTTCTCCGATCTCGTCATACATTGGAAAAAAAGTGATAAAGTAAGAGTAAATATCCTGGAAGGTTTTCAATGGCTTTTTTCCTTCCTTGTATCAATCAGCAATCATCAAGTCCCTAGAGCTACTCTCGTATGATGAAGAGAGGGCAACCCTGATTTGAATTTGATTGTTTTTACAAATATTTCGGGTGGAATATAATGCTAATGAATCACTATTTTACATAGTCTTTCGCTCAGATCGGTTTTTTATTAGGTTGGATATGTATGATTGAAAAAGTATAGTGTGTTTGGCGGTTGGTAAACGTCGTTTACACAAAGGACGTAGTGGGACCAGTCTACGGGAGAGTCCGAGCTACACCAAACTCGTCTTTGGTTCATTCGGCATTGGTATGCACAGGCACTGCTACCAACTATATTTTCTTCAATTTTAGCCATGACCCACAAATTAAAATAATATTTTTTTCGGTTATTAAATAGTAGGTCAAGTATTCACGGAGATTTTGTTTTTTTTTTATTTCATGGTAGCTGATACCAATTAATAAAAGGCTAACGGTAGTAAAAACTAATTTCAAAATTTTGAAAAATATGACACAATATATAATTATATAAAAAATATAAGTTGTGACAGATCCAGGTAATCAGAAAAACGAATGCAAACAATTAACGTTGAGATATATAGGGTGTTGCACTTAAAAAATACCAACATTGGGTCAAATCTAAGAAATGGTGGTCCAAAAAATGTTTTTGACTATGGCACTGGATTCTACGTAAAAATATCTAAAAGAAATTTTCTGAAAATAACGCGGCTAATAAAAACAATCTAAAATCTAATAGTGCAAAAATAAAGTCAAATTACCATAGCAGTCGAGCCTTAAAAAAATTCTTGAAAATTACAAAAAGCGAAAAACTACAACGGCGAAGAAAATGAAAAATCAGGAAAAACTCTCTCGAACTCAAAATATTAAAAAAAAAAACAAAATAATCGAAAATGCAATAAAATGAAAACCATGCAATAACTTAATTTTTGTTTATTCCTCGGTCTAAAAAAATTTCTTGTTTACCAGATTAAACACTATTTCTTCCAAAAATTGAAAATCAAAATTTAAAAAAATTCAAAAAAGTAAAAAGCACACACGGAAGACCTCAGAAAATTGAAGGTTCAGAAATAACAAAATTAAAAAAATCCGGAAATAATTTTCTTTAGATTTTCTTTTATTTTTTGTGCCTATTTTCGCATTTTTTAAATAAGAATTTGAATTTATGCAAACTTACCGAACTTCTTCCATTTTATCTAATTTTTGTAATATGTTTGCGTGTTATACAAAATCGTGCAAATATAATAAAAAAATTAGATAGGGGGAGGGGAATTTACTACACAAGAGAGATGAAAATTTAAGATACACAAGAATTATTGGATAATTTGGTGGTGATGGTAGAATATTTTAAATAAGTATTGGTGTAAAGTCACGATAAAGAGAGAAAGAAAATTCTCCGATGTCATCATACAGATTGAAAAACAGTGATAAAGTAAGAGTACATATCTTGGACGGTTTTCAATGGCTTTTTTCCTTCCTTGTATCAATCAGCAATCATCAAGTCCCTAGAGCTACTCTCGTATAATGAAGAGAGGGCAACCCTGATTTGAATTTGATTGTTTTTACAAGTATTTCGGCTAATGAATCACTATTTTACACAGTCTTTCGCTCAGATCGCAGTTTTTTATTAGGTTGGATATGTATGATTGAAAAGTGTAGTGTGTGTTTGGCCGTTGGTAATTGTCGTTTACACAAAGGACGTAGTGGGACCAGTCTATGGGAGTCCGAGCTACACCAAACTCGCCTTCGGCACGTTCGGCATTGGTGTACGAAAAAATGAAGGCCATTTTCGTTCTGAGACAGGTGAGCTCGGCATTGGTATGCACAGGCACTGCTACCACTATATTCTATATTATAGAAAGTTGTCTCAGGACTTAGAAGCAGGAGGAGCTCAAAATGTAAACGTCTGGTTGTTAAATTCGTATTAAAATACGATCCTGTAATTTTAGGTATTGTCAATGCATTTCTATTAACGATGGCCCACAAATTAAAACAATATTTTTTTCGGTTTTTAAATAGTAGGCCAAGGATTCACGGAGATTTTGTTCTTGTTATTAGATTCAAGGTAGCCGATACCAATTAATAAAAATAGCTGACGGGTAGAAACATTTAATTTCAAAATTTTGAAAAATTAGACATAATATATAATATATCTATTATATAAAAAATATAGGTTCTGATAGATACAGGTAATCAGGAAATCAAATGCAAACAATTGACGTTGAGATATACAGGGTGTTGCACTTAAAAAATACCAACATTGGGTCAAATCTAAGAAATGATGGTCCAAAAAATGTTTTTGACTATGGCACTGGATTCTACGTAAAAATATCTAAAGAAATACTCTAAAAATAACGCGGTTAATAAAAAGAATTTAAAATCTAATAGTGCAGTTAAGAAATAAAGGCAAATGACCATAGCAGTCGAGCCTTAAAAAAATTCTTGAAAATTACAAAAAGCGAAAAACTACAACAGTGAAGAAAATGAAAAATCAGGAAAAACTCTCACGAACTCAAAGAATTAAAAAAAAAAATAATCGAAAATGCAATAAAATGACACTATTTCTTCCAAAAACTGAAAATCAACATTTTTAAAAATTCAAAAAAATTAAAAAGCATACGCGGAAGGGCCTAGAAAATTGAAGGTTCAGAAATAGCAAAATTAAAAAATCAGGAAAAATGGAAGTTCGGTAAATTTGCATAAATTTTCGTCAATAACTTTTTTTAGCCGCACCGATTTCACCAAATTTTCACACGCGCCCCGAATTCCGGCGGCGCGAAATTTTCGCTACGCGGCTACCGCCGGAAAATTCGTTCTCCCGAAGGGTGGACTTCCGGGGAAAAAATCGCGGAGGGCCAACCGTCAAACTTGAACAATCGCGGCTGGAGGGGGGAATTGAGGCGTTCGAACGGCGTGGTCGTCGGAGCCGCGTGGGGTCCCTACCCTGGTTATGAGTTCTTTTGGTGGCGAGGGGGTGCAAAGTTTGCCTTTGTCGACGCCACTCCTCTTCATCTCTCGCGGGGCGAGAACGAGACGACTTATAAAAAACTTACAATTGGTCAAATGTGGCCCAACACGTCCCCCAACTGACATATCATCCGACCCCCTTCGGCCAAGGGGGCGAGCGGGGGAAATTTTCGAACGAAAATCGGCCCGGATTCGAGTTATACAATAATCGCTTTTAAAAAATATTTAGACATCTTTCCTCCGACGTCCTTTTCGCACCCCTCCAGTGACCCCCCCCCCCACGGCGATATAAACGATAATTTTTTTGAATTGTTTATTTGAAATATGACACCTACCTATAACACCTCATCCGCGATATCTCGAGAACGAATCGTCGTAGGTAGGGGTTCATGGGTGCCTTTAGAAAGATCTCGACCAGTGGCGTAACTTCATTTTAAGCGTCCGGCTTTAAAAATATTTGGCCGCCCTTTCCCTTACGCTTAATTTAACCACTTGGATTTCTAATGACAACCATCTTAAAAATATATTAATGAAAGTTCACTAGAAATAGACCCCAGAAGATTCGGATTCTTTGATAAAGACAGCACCCTCATATCGATCTTCAGGAATTTATCAATTTTAGCCAATTTATTTCTTCGCTGTTCAGCGTTTTTTTTCCTTTTCTCTTGGAGGTTCCACTACTTATGGTATTTTCGTACATTCTGAGCTTTCTGATTTCAAAATATCAAACGACAAGTACCGTCTGCGTATCTACAGACGTCGCTGAAGATACATTTTAACTCATTTAGTTTGATTAGCGATTTCAATTCTTTGTGTATGACTCGACCTTTTTTGAATGTCGCTAACTGTTTCGTCCGTACAGAGTAAAATGCTGGAGTGTTAAAACTACTTATCGGCATTCATATCGAAATACAATTTCGGTCTAAGGTTGCCGTATCCATGACCTTCAGATGCCTTCTGGACTGCTAAGTATTTCATGTACTTTATTCAAGAGTTACTTCCTCAGATTGTTAATTACCGCATTTTTTAAGGATTAAAAAAGAGATCAGTGAGCGGCGGAGACTGAGGGGGGGGGGGGTTATCCTTCATGGTACTCTAATGAAAGGTCTCAACGAAATGAATTAATTTTTACCAACCATAGCCCTCCTCCTCAACCTCTTATCGTGATCGGGTATATTCCCTTATACCTCAAGAACGGATTGTCGGAAGAGGGTACTCACAAAGGACGATTGAGACGTCTGCAAGAAATATATCCATTGGTGATGTCAACACAAAAGCTATTTCGGTTAAAAAAAAATGCTCTTTATCTGCACAAGAGTTGTGGACAATTTATACTTGTTTTTATATATTGTAGATATTGGTCCAGATTTTTCACCTACATTTACCACGACATTTACCCTCTGTGAACATTGATTCGGAATTTTCTTCAGCGCGGTTCTTTTATCCGATGAGCTCTAGGGGAACACGGTTTTAAATGCATTCTGTTTAAATTTGTAGGAACTCTTTTGGCTTTTTGATCCATTTTACATTTTTTATCAACTGTTTTGGCCGTGCAGAGGTAAATGCTGGAGTGTTAAAATCACTAAGCGGCATTCATCTCGAAATACAACTTCAGTCTAAGGTTACCGTATCCAGAACCTTCAGATACCTTCTGGGCTGCTAATTAATAAAGTATTTCATGTACTTTATGCAAGTCACTTCGGAATGTTATTTTTCACAAATGGGAAATGAGCGGAGTTGCTTTTAAATCTATTTGAGCTGGCTACTTTTGAGCATATCAAATTTCGTGTCCGATTTAAAATTTTAAAATTCAAGGGTTACTTCCTCGGATTGCTAACTTTTGTATATTGTAGATATTGGTCCAGATTTTTCTCTATATTTACCCTCTGTGAACAATGATTCGGAATTGTCTTTGGCTCGATTCTTTTGTCCGATGAACACGGCTTTAAATGCATTCTGTTTAAATTTGTAGGAACTCTTTTGGCTTTTTAATTCATTTTACATTATCCAGGACCTTCAGATACCTTCTGGACTGCAGAAGGACCCGCTATTTAACAAAGTATTTCACGTATAAATTTGCGTTCTACCTTTCCGATAGCAAGTTTGGGTACGAGCGAGCGCGACCTGGTCATTCAAAACGTAGGGAATGTGGCCATTGTTGTTCGTGTTTTTCCCGCAATAATGGCAAAATAATAAGCAACAATGTTAATTTATTGTGATAAAATCGAACGAAATGCGTATTCACGATTCACTAATGAAATCACACAAAATAGCTTTTTTACGAATGCTTTATCTCTTCCTAATTTTTTAATAATAATAAATAATTAACGCAAGCGTAAAATTGAAGGAGTTCGGGAAGTTTTCAATTTTTTTAAAAACGAATTACATTTTCGTGGCCCGTCCTCATTGTGTACCTTTGAGACAATGTATGTACGCCACTGATCGCAACCTAACCTAACCGATGGTAGGATCCTATCTTGAGAACGGAGATAGAAACTCCGAAAGGGCGGGAACAGACGCACAGAGTCCCCAAACCACTGAATACCAAATTTTGACCAGATCTAACGGTAAACGGCGGAGATATAGCAATTTGTAATTTGACACCTACCGTAAAGAATAAAACCGCGATATCTCGAAAACGATGCGCCGTAGGTAGGGGTTCATGGGTGTCTTTGGAAAGGTCTCGACCTAAGCCAACTGATGGGCGCTAGGAATTCAGAATGTTGAGCGGTAGATTTTTTTTTTACTAATTAGTAAAAAATAGTGAACGTTTATATTATATTTGGGCGGTATTTGAGCGAAATATGCACATTCTAGCGGAGACTTAAAATGCAAAGCATTGTTACCAACCTATACGTTGAGATTTAATTAATATGTTGGTGCTTTTTAGAGCCGAATCAAATTTCTTTTCCCTTTAAGAATATTCCAACGACGTTTAACACAACGCCCACTACATTTTCACAGCAATCAAGCAAAAAAACAAACAATTGACAAACGGAAAAGAATGTTAACAAAATGGCGGTCCTTATCTAGTTTTGATTAAAGGACAGAAAATGAATTTTTTTGGTAAAAGAGCCTGTTAATGGGGAAATGCGCTTTTTGTAACTTAACTTAGTCCACTCAGAAAAGAGGGCGCTTTCACATCTTGTCCCTTTGTCTTAAAAAATAGGAGGCCATGGCTAAATTTTTGCCTTCAAATAAACACTTGAAAAATGACACCTTCGAATACGAAAAATTACCTGTAATATCGGATACAGTTGTAAAGGCGTGGCATAAGTGGCTAGCTGCCCGTTCCATGCAGTACCTGTGATAGATTTGTCGCTTCCCTGCCTCCGTGTCGACGCTAAACTGTGCATAGCGTTAGAGTCGCATTACAAAATTCTCGCTCGTTACCTTATCTAACTGGTTGTAAAAGTCGGTGCTTCCGGCGCACAGATATCGTCCCAAAAGGGTCGCGTGCGTAGTAAAAACGAGGGCAACATTGATATGCCGAGTACGTAAAACGATCAGCCCCACGCCGGCTTGCCACTCGTGAAAATGCGCTACGATTCGTGGCGATTCGCCGCCGGCTGCCGCCTCGGCCTTATTCCGAAACTAAAACAGGTAAATAAACACTACGGATATCCGGGCCGCGAATCCCGTACCTCCTGAATAAAATCAGCTACCATATATCCGAGTATTATTGCGTCATTGGCTTCGATGTCCAAATGGGGGACGCCGATGTTACACGTTGACCACAGCTCATTCTTGAACTCGTCCATTTTCCACGAAGCCGATCCGATATCCATTAGAATAATCTGTGGATTACCGTCGACTAGCCATCGCCCTGTATGAACCCTGAATCCCTTATTCCGTAATTCGTCGACGGCCTCGTTCAGAGCCTGGCAGCCCAAAGGACCCTCCTCGACTTCGGTCCTCGCGCAGTGCTCCTTATACGGACCGATTAGGCAATACTGGTCGCCCATCTCCTCCGTCGACACGTACGCCTTCGACCTAATGACCGTATAGATCCCGCCGACTTTGTTCGCCGCCTCCCAGGCGATCTCGAACGTCCACCTGTTCTCCTCTTGGGCCAGCGAGCCCCGATCGAGGAAGTTCAGCAGATTACTGTACGACTCGCCACGATAAAATCTGCGTGTTATTCTTTCGCGCGACATTCTGCTGCTGCTGAAACCGAAAGGCACTGTATCAACGTTCAAAGCCGAAACCTTTCTCTAACCTACACCAACTGCTCTAGTTCTCTAGGTCACTTTTATCGCACTAGGAAATTATTACGCAAATCTAACGTTGTTTTTTGAATTACGGAAGTTTTAGGGAGAGGGTTCAAGGATGAGGCTTTTCTATTTTAGATCAGAACGCGCCGTAAAAACTTAAGGTGACCTTTATGAATTGAAAAGCGCGTGAGGGTTAAATTTGAAAAATTACTTCGTAACCTGATTATAGGCAACTTCACTAACACGCGCACTACAGCGTGTTCCCTTAGTAGAGAGACAACAATTCAAAATTATTGTATACGTTTCAGCTACGCATTTAAAAGGCAACATGCACAATATTGAAAATTAATCGTCAGAATTAATACTTAACGCAGAAGTTTGCAAATTGCAAACTTGGCTCGTCTGTAGTCAATTCAATGTTATTGCAATTGGTTAGACCACCAACAATAAGATGATATTCCTAAGACCACAGATTAACTACAATGGATAGCTCACCTCAATGTATTTTTTATTATACCTGAATCACAATCTCCGTTTTGAACACTCAAATGCGTGCGAAATAAGGCCTTTAAAACACACGTGCTTTATAATTGCTAAGTAATAATACTTCAAGTAGGACTTTTGAACTGTCATCTGGATTTGAATTTTACACCTACCAACGTTTCTTAAGATTTCACAACAAGTCATTTAATCGGTACAGGAAGACTCGGCTCTGCGCAACTCGGCACCGGACTACTCGCCTTCGGGACAAGTCGGCTCTGAGACAACTCGGCTCCGGGACTACTCGGCTCTGGGATAACTCGGCTCTGGGATTACTCGGCTCTAGGATAACTCGGCTCTGGGTCTGCTCGGCTCTGGGATAACTCGGCCCTGGGGTTACTCGCCTCTAGGATAACTCGGCTCTAGCATTACCCGGCGCCGCGAGAATCATTTTTATATGTTTTTGTGTGTTTCAATCTTTGATTTTGAAATTTTCTTGGTTTAACCGTAATGCAGAATCACATGTGTGATACCGTTATGCTATTGTTTGTAATTAATTGCCTTTTTGGTGTAATTCTTGCTTAATTTATGTTTATGTGTTGATTACTTGGCCTTGTCCGAGAAGTTACATTACATTCATATAAATTTTGATCATTTTATTTTAATATGTGGAAATTACCGATTCGTTTGATGTATGTACTGACTTGTTGTTTGTTACTAACAATTTTCTCCGTGAATGAAACAGTCACGGTGGTGGTATAACTGTAGTCAAAATTGAAATAGGGACGACATTTAATTCCGTGATTGTCTTCGACATCCAACTGTATAGGCTCGAAACCCCGAAAACAGGGGCGGGCTACCCATCTTGCAGGAGCTTGATTATACACTTGGCTCTTAATATTAATATGTAACAAAATGAAAGATCAAATATCTTTAATTTAAATCCATAATATTGAAGTTGAAGCTGACGACTATAATCCGACACCACTAAATATAGAACAAAACAACTCCAGTTTTGTTTGAGGTGGTCATTTATTTGTAGTCGCCTTAACAACGACATACGGTTCATATGACCCCAACTCAACCACAAAAATGTTGTTGGGTCAAATGATCCACATCCAAAAAGATGTCCGTAAAACAGGCTATAAAATATGGCACCAGAACCAAAATGTACATTTGAAGCTAACCTTAATCATGATTCATGACATTGTGTTTAAAATTTTTGTGTTACTGTGACTTTACCTCCCTTATTGCATTTTAATCCCCTTTGAATACGAAAGCCTTTATTTATCCTTAAACCGGGTAAAGGCAAAGAACACTGAGAGCTTCCACCCTGTATATACAACTTACGACGATACATGCATTTTTGAGAGTTGGCAACCATGCAATTTCTAGGTGGGAAAAAGCTGCCTGCGGCATCTAAAGCTTAAAAATCACGATCGGGGGTTACCTTTGGCATCTTGTTTTGAATGGCGGTCGTGAACGCGTCGCTCCACAAATGTTTGTTGTTCTTTTGTGTTATTTAATGCAGGTAGTAGTAATTTTTGCATTTCTTTTATATCGTATTTCAGTTTTGTACGCCACATTTTATATTTTATATTTTGATTACTTGGTCTTGTCCCTGAAGTAACATTCATGTAAGTTTTGATTTTATTTTAATATGCGGAAATTACCGATTCGTTTGATGTATGTACTGACTTGTTGTTTGTTACTAACAAGTAACAATTTTCTCCGTGAATTAAGCAGTCGCGGGGGTGGTAAAAACTGTAACCATTTGAAGTACGACACCTAATTCCGTGATTGTCTTCGATATCCAACTGTAGACTCGAAACCCCGAAACCAGGGGCAGGTTACCCATCTTGCCGGAGCGGAATTACGCTAATCAAAGCTCTTCAGTTTAGAATCTATGTGCGATAAATGAGTGGCGATTCAATATTCAATGGAATAGTCATTCGGATGGCCATTTTTAAACGTTGCCGGGTTGACTTTATTTCCGTGTCCTTGTAGTGTGAAAAACCCGGTTTCGACGCCTGCGTAGTAGGACGGTCTCTCGTATTACTTTCGCTGTAAGGTGTGTTGCCTATCCTTAGAAGTAACGTCACAATAACCTAAAAAAACAATCGCTTTTTAGGTCAGATTCGGTTCTTCCAATTGCAGCATCTACTGTAACTAATCTAATAACTCGAGGTACAGTGACTTTATAGCTTAGAGACAGTGGTGACAACAGAGTGTCTAATTTTTGATTGGTGATTGAGTTCTGCGGCCATTTTGCATCAAATTTCGCAATAAAAATGATTGTTGTGTTGTTTTATATATCGATAATTGTACTAATAAAACGCTTATTAAATATTCATTCACAGTAGGTGTAACGCCACCGTGTCTGAAGTAAGTTGGCTACTCCTTAATATTGTATTGTAGTATACACCATATATATTATATATGGTATACACAACACATGTCATACGTGTATTGGGTGTTGCCTACTTTCCAATTTGAATGTTTGATGCAAAATGGCGGCTGAACTCCTATTGTCTCCACTGTCTCTATAAAGTCACTATAAAGGTACTCGATAGCTACCCAAGCGAAACACTGGTATCAGACTGCCGCCACACGAAATAGACCGTCATAAGACCATCCTTAGAGAAGGGCCATAGTCTACGGGACCATCATAGTCCTTTTGGCGGGAGTTTGTAGATAAAGGATTATCAAGGAAAAAACCATAGACATATGCTTACTCACATGTCTATGGGAAAAACCTTTGATTATATACTACAGGGAAAAACCAGCACTATGAAGAGGTGGCTCACCACATTCTTTGTGAGCACTCGTCCAAATGTGAGAATCAATGTTGAGGGAATCCTGGCCGAATGTGGTCACTAAAGGTGCGCATACATATGCGAGCCGACCCGTTTGCGAACTGCTCAAAAACTATTTTTTGAAATTATTTTTACAACGAACTTCCAACCATCCATGGAAAAGCCAGCAGTCATCGGTCTGTGGTACTTCAGATCAACACGTTTTCGCTTGCGAGCGGAAGAAAAACAACGAACTTCACAGAAACACTTCCCAATGAACTGCGAATCTCTTTGTGTTCGTAAAAAAACGGTTCGCCACGAACTGCTCAGGGAACGGTTCGCGACCGCTTACAAATCTCGTCCTAATCTAACGAACCGGTTGTTCGGGAACGGTTCACGAACAGTTCGGCTCGCATATGTCTAAGCACCTTAAGGCGACGCGCACGCTCAAAATTGAACCATTTGATCAATTTTGAGGGTACCTTGAGTTGAGCGTGAGCTTCGCGCCTTAGTATGAAGCAAGCTTACTCACGTATGTGTCCTCAAGTTGGCCACACACGTGGGAGTAACACTGGAGGTCGTACAAAGAGCTAAAAAAGAAGGCCTATGTGTCAGTGGGTAAGCGTAAGTTCACCCTCTGTTCGCAATCTAGACAAGTGGGCACTGGTTCGTGATAATGAATAGTATGAAGAATGAATGTATGAAAATTGTCCCATTAACATAACCTCTAATATTTTGAAAATTTTAGTGCACCATAAAATGAATTGTGAAAGTCTCACATGGAACCACCATTGAAACCAAACGAGGCAGACTGTTGTAACTCCGGTTGCAATCCGTGCATTTTTGACGTATACGAAGATCAATTAAACAAGTACCTCAACAAACAACTATACATTTCCGACGCAAGAAATTGCCTCTCGCAAACCGCTTACACCGCCTTCACACTTAAGGAAATAAAACCGCATGCGAAGAATACGTTTATTTACACATTTCGGTACGGAAACACACCTGATAACTGCAACCGTGTACTTTACAAACCCGGACAGCACCTGTTGATGAAAGCCGACGACAATGCAGTTCAGTTCACCAGAGCTTACACGCCAATACCCGGCGATGGTACTGATCTGCTTTCCTTTACAGTTTTAGTGAAATTGTACGAGAACGGAGCCATGTCCGCTTTCTTTCGAAATTTACGGATGAACGACGATGTACTGTGGCGCGGGCCTTACGGTGATTATGAAGTCGATTACGGCCTAAGTCGTCTGCTGCTAATTGCGCAAGGTACGGGAATCGCTCCGCTCTACACAATTGCGCATGACATTCTCCACAATGAGAGCTGCGAGACGTTCGTGCACTTATTCCTGTGCTCCAGAACGGAAGACGACATTCCGCTAAGGGACGAACTATATCAGCTCGCGTCGTACTGGAACTTCACGTACGAAATTTTTCTATCGCAAGCCACTCGGGTGAGGTGCAAGTATAACGAGACAGTACACGATTTTCGACTCTCCTCCAATGAAATTGAAGCGTACTTTCTTAGAATTTCGGATGACAGGTTGCAGGTTTTAATTTGTGGCAGCGACGCTTTTAACGTTGACGTTTCTCGGTTGGTCACCGAATGCAAGACGGACGGCACCGAAATCGTCGCGCTCTAATCCTACGGTAACGGGCACGAGATGTGCTGAAAAAACATCGTTAAATCGTCTCAAATCCGCAGATCGATTGCTCACCTTCTCGCAGTTCGGGCATTCGCCGTGTAACTCGTTGAAGGTCTGCCTGGTTTTCGCCGCGATCGAAACCAGCCACTGAAATAAGTCGTGTTAGTCAAACTTTTTGTGGGGAAAAAGGAAGCTGAAAATAAATGATTAGGATTTTTGAAATTTTTATTAAGAGAGGATAGGGGGGGGGGGAGAAAGTTGGAAGCTGTCGGTTTCAACAGGATGGTGCACCCGCACATAACCTATAAACCTACCCTGGAAAATTTGTTCAAAAGCTATTCCCGCACAATTAGGCCGTTGTATGCGGGTGCACCATCCTGTTGAAACCAACAATATTCGTAATAAAAAATGCCACCCAGTACGTACAGTATGCACTTTTTTAAGAATCATAAAAAACACCCTGTATATAGTAAAGTAAAAATATATACATAATATAATTTCCTGACAGCAATTCATTAGAAGTTTTGTGGTTAGGAAAAACATAGGAATCTGAAATTTTGGGTTGTTTTTATGTTAGGTGTATCAAATATTAATTCTTTAGGAATTCCAGTGGAGTCTATGATTCGAGATTATATTAATTTACTCGAAACCATCCTAATATCCCAATACAAACATCTAATTTTGCTATAAAGTTTAATATTAATTTGTGGGCTGGTTTTTTTTCTTGGTCAGTTCTTTTTTCCCCAGTCTATTTTTATATTTGCACTTGGTGAACTACCACTTTCGTTACCTTGTAAAATATTTTCAAAATCGCCTCCATCTTATTTCGGAAGTCGCTATTAACTTTGTTATTTTAAAAGGAACACACCCAGTAAGTATATTATTTCATTTTTGGATATTGATCGTTTTGAATTTTTCTTTAACACTACGCCTTTTGCCCATATTCGAACAACGCTCGTCGGGTCTGCTATTATCTATATAAATAAAAATGAATGTTTCTGTGTCTGTGTCTTATGCCTATCTAAACCGTCCTTCCGATTGCGATTAAACTTTGAGGAATGGTTGGACGTATGTCCGCGCGAAAGTTTCTCAGTTAGTAAAACACGTTCCGAAATTCTCACGGGAACGGGAACAACAAAAAATCAGGATTTTATGTTTTACAGTCAAAAAGAGACTACATATAGAATTTAAAGGATTTAAGGTGTAGGTGCTCCGAAAGAACTTCCCGAAGTTCCCAAGGGAACGGGGTACGGGATTTCCCAAAGGCGGTACGAAGTTCGCCGGAACTACTAGTATGGTATATTTTTCAAAACTGTAACCACCAATGCAAATTAGAGTTTAATTGTTGCCTGTAAAAGGGTGTCATCATAAAAGTGCACGTAATAAGGTACTTTTTATTTGGTATCAGCACATATAATAATTTTTGTGTCACCCTGTAAGTATGTTGAATTTCAATTTAGTTTAAATAATCGCGTAGTACTTTGCTTTTATTTTATTGTTCATTTAGTTTTGCTAAAATTATCTCATTTAAATCAGGTCGTTGCGATAAAAAATTTGTTATCGCTGCGTGAGCTTGTTAGTTTCAAGATAAGCAGGTTTCGCCGATAGGAAAACCCAGATGTTTAATTTCGAAGACGCAAATTCAAATAGAGGAGATGCGGAAACTGAGAAAGGGAAGGTTTTAAATAGCAGAGGAAAACGTGAATCGTTTGAGGAGTGTTGTGACGTGTGCAATGGTGCGGCCATCAAGTGCACGCCAGGTTTTTCAAGTCAGTCTGCACCGCGTCACCACGTCATTATGTAACGCGCGTCCGGCTCACGACCCGACTGTATCATTGTTGTAACACAGTATCAATAAATGCATACTTATATGCAGTAATCGTGTTTACATATTTAATAATTCTTATGGAAATACTGCATTATTTACTATCTATAATCACTATGATTAGTCAATATTAAAAAAAAAAGGTTCAGGGTATCGATTCCCGAAGTTAGTCGATATGCTCTGTGATGTGCATGTGATGTGACCGGCTGCCATGACGTCACGATCGTATACGATAGGGATAAGTTCAAGTTTAGCTGCATTCCCGAATCGTGGACAAACTTTATGTGCTAACCAATCCAAGCATTACGGATACTGTTATTAATAACCAGAGAAAATCCTCTAACAATTTCATGTTTTAATTCACAGAAAATATGTGAATGTATAGGTTAGGGCACTGAATAACCCCTAGCAAAACAGCTGCAAGATCCGTCCTGTAGCTGCTACTGCGCATGCCTTTCACGCAACGAGTGGACTAGACCAGTCGTTCCGTTCGATCAACTTTTCGCTCGATGTGGTAGGTTCGAGAATGCAGTGACATTCACGTTCACATCAAGGTCAGTCGATGTGAACAAAGCACATCTTCGGGAATCGACACCCAGATAGAGTTCAGATTATCGTCGACATCAAAGACCGGACATTTTTTTGTTAGGTTAATATAGTGGAATTCACAGAAACATCACTTTTTTAGATTCCAGATCGCAGTTACGCCCCCTAGCGACCATTTCAGGAACTTAAAAATATTTTCCAGGTTTTTCTCATGGCTGTTTTAGTAATGACTTTTTTTACCGCAAGCCTCTACGATGGATAGGTTTTCAGATACAGTACCTCGCATTCTTAGTTGGCCACCCTGTACTTAGGCAACACACTATACACTTCAATCAATGTAAACGGCACTTCTTTCGTAGTGTACCTATTTTCAAAGGTGCCCAGTATTTTATTTTACAGATTTTTTCTAAAAATAATGTTTGTTTTCTTTCGGCGGTTTTTCTGCCACAATTGTTTCTTCTCTGTTAAGTAATTATAATAATTGATAAAAAGAATTTTGTGGATGGTTAAAAATTACAAAAATAAACAAAATAGCATCTCATATGGATTATAGTGACTTTATAGAGACTGTGGCAACAATAGAGACTCTAACTTTTGATTGGTTGTTGAGATCGACGGCCATGTTGCATCGAGAATATATGATTTTGAATTGTAGTGTATGCAACACGTCATACGTGTATTGCGTGCTGCCTACTTCTAATTCAAATTTTCGATGCAACATGACGGCTAGGCTTCTATTGTCGCCATTGTCTATCTAGTCAATTGTAATATGAACGTAACAGTGATAGTAAAAGCCATTTGCAACAGATGGCACTAAAGTAAATTTAATAAATTTGAATTTTCTAACTGCTATGAAACCTTTCCACAGAACGCTGCAACCCCCCCCCCCCCCCCATCCATTATCATTCACCTTACAACACAATTACCTGATATAGACATTCGACATGAAAAACTTGCTCACAAGAAGGATTAGTGCAAACTATCTCCGGCAATTTCTGATTGAGCCTCGACGAAAAGCAAATACAACACTCGCCCGTACTAAAAAGAACCACTTCCCCACGATCTAGGGTCGGCTTAGGTGGGAAATGTTCCATTTCTAAAAGTGCACCATTCAGAAACTTGCGAAACCTTCCACAAACCCACCCAGCAACCTCAAGATCTCATCGAAAGTGTCCGCCTTATAATCCCAATTCTCCACATTGCTCGAAACCTTACTCCGGAAGCTGTTCGTCAGACGTTCGGGACCTAAAAACTGCAAGCTCGGTATTCCGTCAGGCTTCCACGGGTCGACGGTGATCACAACGGAAATACTGCTATCTGTAAAACACAACAGCTGTAAATGTAATCGTGGTAGGAGGATACCGTACCGAACGCGATACGACGATAGCAGTCCTTTGGCTTCGGCGTTTCCGGATCCAAAACCCACGCCGCTGAATCGAACCTGTCCATTAGATACAAGTACGGTTGCAGTTCCTCGATCGCCTTGACAAACGTCTCGTATAGAACGCTCAACGACGCGCTGGGCTTCGCAAAATCGTCTCTGTCCGGGAGATCATGACGAGCAATCCTAAACGTACCATCAATCGCTACGGTCAGTGCGTGTTGACGATCGCACTCGTCCAGTGTCGTGATTGATACCTCCGACAGGTCGGGCGTGATCACGCAACTCTGCAGGTTGATGTAAAATTCGCGAAACTCTGCGTATTCGGTTAGCACTTGTCTGTAGAAGTCCGCCAAATTTTTTTTAATTGCGGAGGAGGTTTTGGACGATATTGTTTCCGAAAGTGCGTCCAAAAAGTTAAGTGGATTCGTATAGATGTCGGACAGGTGATCGATGTCTTGTCGAAATGTGGACAGTTTCTCATTGATCTCTAAGAAAGGTTTGCCGTTTACTTGCGATAGATGAATTTCGTAGTCGGTCCTCTAAAATTAAACGTTTTGAATGATGTTTTTTTGAGGTTAGGATTGCGATACGTTTATATTTAAATAGCCGTCGAACTCTGTCAGTTGACCATTTCTTGGTAGCAAGGAAGGAAATTTTAACAATAATTGTATTGCTTCGTTCATTTTGAGCTTTGTACTATTATTATACACATATTTTTAATTTATTTAGGAAGAAATAGCAGTAAATAAATATTTAAAGTGAGCGAGTGAGAGAAAAAACCAAGTGTGATGTGATTTGACAAAGATCGCGATATGGATGTGGTTATTGGACCTTCCTCGGTTCTAAAAGTAAACTCCATCTATCGTGTTTGGTTTCTGGCCGTTTGCACCGACAAATTTAAAGGGAGCTTAGCTTAAGCGTACAATAGTTTAAAATCCGTGGCAACTATAATCCCAAACGGCGATTAATCTTCGATCATACAATCCTAGATCAAGCTTAGTAGACAGAATGAAAAACGGCATCGTTCTAACACTCGTCGTTTCCGAAAACGCGCCAAAATAAGAGAAAGTGCAATTTATTACCAATTTAGAGGGGCGAAGGGGGGGGGGTGAGACTCGACGTCTCTGAAGCCCAGTTCAACTACCTAGGTACCTACATAAAACCAAACACACGAGGTGGTTTTAGACGGCATTCCGGCCTACAGCATTCGCCAAATCTGACTTTTCATGTAGCATTTGCAGTCCTCATGACTGATCCATCTCACTATTTTTAGATCTTTACGGTGATCTATTTCTTTCGAAAACTGGGTCAATTTTTCTCGTATGGATGCAAGACGCCCATAATTCCTGAATCATTAGTCACCAATCCAAGTGGCCAATCCAATATTCGGAAAACCATATACGTATACCATGCGATCAAAAATGAGTTGCTGTCGAGTCACCTTTGGAATTTTTTTTAATGTTTCGTTTCCGAGTTTTGGTTTAGTCTGGGTCTCCCTGTAGCTGGTGAAGATTCCCACGGGAACGATAAAACATGGAATTAAGACAGAGAGTAAAGTTTATGCGCGTACGAAGTCGCGGGGGTAAAAGCTAATTGTTGATAGATATGCCTAACAATAATTCATACTACTACCCCTATGAAATATTGATTTCTATTTCGCCTTTTTTTAATTTATTTCACGAACCAAGGCATCGAATTCGAATCGAATTAAATAAAAGACAGAACTTTTGTGCGTAAGAAATGACAAGAACAAATTATTTATTATTCAACAATGTATTCAGTCTTCAATGTCAGCAATTATAACAATGTTAGTCTGTATAGGGAGGAAATGGTGGATAGATTTAGTTTTTGCCGAGTTAGCTTTTCGAGTTCCCACAGGTTCATTTTTGTCTTTGAGTTCACTTTGCTTTGGGTAATCAGTTAGTATGTGTTCCCTGTAACAGAAAGGTAATGTACTTAGTTGTAATTGATTTATATTGTAGATTATGTTGCCTTCAGCTAGTTGTAATGCAGGGTAAAGTGATTCTTGAATTTGGTGTAATTTGCTTTCAAGGTAAAAGTGGTTCCTGTTTGATTTGTTGAAGATTGGCCAGTTATCAATTTTCATTTGTTGATTTAAACCCATTTAGATTGATTAGCAACTTCAATTCTTTGTGTATGAATCGGCCTTTTTTGAGTGTAATTAACCGTTGCAGAGGTACATGCCGGAGTGATAAAGATACTTAGCGGCATGTATTTCGAACGACAACTTTAGTCTAAGGTTACCGTATCCAGGATCTTAGATACCTGCTAGATTGGAGGAGGTCTGGCTAATTAATGATGTTTATTTTATGCACTTTATGTAAAGAGACTTCGGAATGTATCTTTCACACATGAGAAAGGATTGAAGGTGCTTTTTAAATCTACTTGTGATGGCCATCCTTTAACTTATCAAGTTTGTATTGTATTAACGTCAGATTTCAATCTATCCAATTCGATTACTCGGATTATTATTCTTTGTATAACTATTGTAGCTGTGTTGCAAAATGTGTTTAGCGCTTAGACCATATAGTACATGGACTGCTAATTGTAACTAAAATATGGTCAAGGACATCGCCTGGGTATGTGAGTTTCAGGGTAAACGAATCTGTCCGAAGCTATCCGATTAAAAACGATTTGACACTGTCAACCTATAAATTAACAAACGTCAATTAATTAATTGCCTAGATATGCCAAAAAAGCAAACCTATTCTTATTTGTGGACGTGTAGAAGATAATCAAGAGTATTTAAAGCTTCCCGTACTACTCGGTAGTTATGGAAGATGCTCTTTACGCGATGCAAGTGGTGTTTAAACGACTTTAGTTTACACTGAGATTCACATACCCACGACTACAGTGCCCTCTACCCGTGACCATCCATTTTGTATTGAAAGCATAGGGCTAATAGCAGTCCATGTACTATATGGTCTAAGGTTTAGCGTATCCAATGTTACCTATCATTCTCCAGATTTTCCCTCTAGATTTCACCTCTGTGAACAGTGAGTCGGAATTTTTTTTAGCACGGTTCTTTTGTCCGACGAGTTCTAGGGGAACCTGGCACTTTTTGGCTTTAAATGTATTCTGTCTAAATTTGTAGGATGTCTTTCGGCCTTTTGATTCATGTTTACACTTTTGATCGGTTCTTTAATAAACTTTATTTGTGTTTCAAATTCAATTAAGCGTATTATTTGCGTTCCGCCTTTCCGATAATTAGCATGGGTACGAGTGAGTGCAACCTGGCCTTCCACACCGTAGGGGTTCCGGCTATTGTCGAGTGCGAGGTTTGTGTTACTACGCAGGTGTTCCGAGTTCGTGTTTTTCCCGCTTTCGTTAGTGCGGGAGCTGTCGACTTGGGTACATCACAATAGGAAACATGCGAATGGTGTGGCTCTACTCTAGCCTTTAGATAACATAATAATTTAACACGAAAAGTACATGTGAGAATGCCATAATAGTAAGTATTCATGTGAAAATCGATTATCGCTCAAGCAAAACATATTTTAAATGGTGGAAATGTTAATGAGAGGCCCCTAAATATCTCGCACTGCTAAGATGCCAAGAACTGTAATCTGCACGAGACGAGACGAGTATTATTAGGTACTTACTCCACGGAGACAGAATGAACCACTCACTCACACACACAAACATCGAAACATCAAATAAGAGAGCCCCCCTTCGTATAGCTGACGCACAAGAACTGCAGCGCGCCACGAATAAGAAAGTAACATACAGCGAACAATCAAACTGTATTAGGTACTTCCCTCGCGGAATAGTTACGAATCAATCGTACAGAGCAACATCGCACTGATAATCAACTCCTCGTGAATACAGAAATAAATACTTAGTAAAACAAAATAATGGCATAATCTGTACAGTATAACAAACACGATTCATCTAACGGTACTCAAAACTAAAATCACATTCCAACACGAAATCTATTTAATTTCCTTCATGGAGGACCATGTTGATTTTGCAAAGGGTAAATTGTTAAATTAAATTTGCCGCTTTCATTATTTCACCCACCGATCTTGTACTTGTATGACTATGATGCGCACCATGCGCTCGCTCTCTTTTCGCTGCTGTATGTCAACCCACAATGTACTAATAAAGTACTGCTCTTTTTGTTATTACGCTGCCTTTATTCACAACCCCAAATTTAACATAAATTCCTTTCTTCGTCTACTCTAAATCCTCAACAATTAAGAAATGCATTCATCCAAATCCATGATATACTGATAACTCTGTGATACGACTGTAGGGTTATAAGTAAAAGCTTCATTCACAATGCTAGAATTAGCAATTACCAGTTAGAAGGTGATTTATTTTTTCAACGTTGCTGTTAGTAAAAAAATGGAAACTGTAGTGTACTTAACCTCCAGGTTCTACGTTAACTTCACACTACAATAACACGGAAATAAAAGTCGACCGGGCAACGTTTAAAAATGGCCACCCGATTGACTATTGACATCACAAAAAGTAGCAGGTAAACTTCAAGAAGAAACATATAGGTTAAAGACAAGTTTTGGGAATTATGGGTCAGGTAAGCAGGTATCAAGATTCTAAGAAAGGGTAAAATGCACAGGATGTGACTCACCTTTGGTGCAATAAGTAAGTCCTTTTTTAAAAGCAAGATGGAAAATTACAGGGCTTTGTAGGCAAATTTAACTAAAAACGATACGTGGAAATTATTGAATCGCCACTCTTTTATCGCACATAGATTCTAAACTGAAGAGCTTTGATTAGCGTAATCCCGCTCCTGCAAGATAGGTAACCCGCCCCTGATGGTTTCGGGGCTTCTAGCCTACAGTTGAATATCGAAGACAATCACGGAATTAGGTGTCGTAACTCAATTTTGACTACAGTTTTTACCACTTCCTGACTGCTTGCTTCATTCACGGCGAAAATGTTAGTTACAAACAACAAGTCAGTAAATACATCAAACGAATCGGTAATTTCAACATATTAAAATAAAATGATCAAAACTTATATGAATGTTACTTCGGGGACAAGACCAAGTAATAAACATCAATAAAAATAAATTAAGCAAGCATTACACCAAAAACGTAAACAATTACAAAATAGCATAACGGTATCACATATGTGATTCTGCATGCGGTTAAACCAAGTAAGTTTCAAAAACAAAGATTGAAACACAAAAAATATAAAATGCGGCATACAAATACGATATAAATAAATGCAAAAATTGCTACCTGCATTAAAAGACAAAATAACAACAAACATTTATGGAACGACGCGTTTACGACCGCCATTCAAGACAAGATGCCCAAACGTAACCCACATGGCCACATTCGTGCTTTCTAAATGGCGCAAGCTTTTTCCCACCTAGAAATTGCATGGTTGCCAACTCTCAGAAATGTATGTATCGTCGTAAGTTGTATATACAAGGTGGAACCTTTCAAATCTTGTTACTGTTGTTAATTAAGATACCTACAGAGGACGTTGCTGTCACAATTAACGAGCTAATTTTGTGTATTGTGAATGATGATGTTTTGTTAATTTCTACGTTATGTGTAATTTCTAATTGTAATTGCTAATTCTTGCATTGCGAATGAAGCTTTACGTTTGAAAAATTTAAAATAGTTCAATATCAGACAGTCAACTTAGTAAACTATAATAGCAAACTTACATAAAGTTTCTATCGCACTCTAACAATATAAATTTGTTGTCATGGCGCCGTTGAAATTCTTTTTTGACCATTGAAATCAGTTAAGCTGCGTTCACAGCCTCCAATTAATGTTTATAATTAATGAGTGAAATTATTACGTCAACTTTACGTAATGGAAACATTCGCAATGCATGAAATTAATATGTGAAATTAGTATATAAGCAGTGTCGCCATCTATACAACAGAGAGGTTAATACGGCAACTTTAACCATATCTTGTAACGCAAGCACAAAAATCGGGCCTAATCCTAACGCGGCAAGGTATTTTTCTGTTCTCCACATTCATTGTAGACGTAACAACATCAAAACAAAAACGGCATGGTTATGTTGACTGTCATATAAAAGCTCGCATGCGTACCTCTGTTAATTTCAGTAAAATTAAGCGACAAAGTTTGCAGTTTGCAAACTTCTGCGTTAAGTATTAATTCTAACGATTAATTTTCAATATCGTGAATGTTGCCCTTTAAAATACATAGCTTAAACGTTTACGCTAATTTTGAATGGTTATTGTGCGTATTAATTTTAAGGTTGTGAATGTTACTTTAGAATCGACGAGACGTTGGGCGTCGATTCCCGAAGATGTGTTTTGTTCACATCGACTGACCTTGATGTGAACGTCAATGCCACTGCATTCTCGAATCTACCACATCGAGCGAAAAGTTGATCGAACGCAACGACTGGTCTAGACCACTCGTTGCGTGAAAGTCATGCGCAGTTGCAGCTACAGGACGGATCTTGCAGCTGTTTTGCTATAGAGGTTATTCAGTGCCCTAACCTATAAATTCACATATTTTCTGTGAAATAAAACATGGAATTGTTCGAGGATTTTCTGGTTATTAATAGCAGTATCCATAATGCAAAAACAAAACAAAATACAAAACTGACAAATGACAGTCCAATTCTTGTCTGTGATTGGTTAGCGCATAAAGTTTGTCCACGATTCGGGAATGCAGCTAAACTTGAACTTATCCCTATCGTATACGATCATGACGTCATGGCAGCCGGTCACATCACATGCACATCACGGAGCATATCGACTAACTTCGGGAATCGATGCCCTGGTTAGGTTACATAGATTTTTGGTAAACATTTAAGCTGCATTCACAACTTCCAATTAATGTTTATAATTAATGAGTGAAATTATTTAACTTTACGCAAAGCAATCATTCGCAATGCCTGAAATTAATACGCGAAATTAATGTGTAAGCGGTGTCGCCACCTGCGTACCGGCGAGGCAATTGGTTATTGGTTAATTGTTTATGCAACAGCTTTCAACATAACCTTGTAGCGCAAGCACAAGAATCAGTGTTTGTGTTAATAAGTGTCTTTTACCTATAACTAGCCTTATCCTAAGGTGGCAAGATACTTTTTTCTGTTCGCCACATTCATATTGTATATATAAACAAAATCCAAACAAACTTTTGCGTTAAGTATTAATTTCGACGATTAATTTTCTATATTGTGAATGTTAGTGTGCGTTTACAATGAACGTATACGTAAGAAATACATAAAACGTAAAAATTTCGCAAAGTTGAACTGAATAGAAACATACGAAGGTGTTTACAATGAACGTAATTTTTACGTACGTATATGTAAGCAATATGTAAGTCTTGCCCATAGTCGTAAAGGTTGAAAATGTTTCAAAGTTACGTACGGTCAAAGATCATACTACTTGTAGTATGATCTTTGGTTTATTGTAAACAGCGAAGTAAATTTACGGAAACGATACGGATATGTACGAGTTATGGTTTATGAAATATTTACGTATACGTTCATCTTAAAGGCACACTTACTCATAAAATACATAGCTTTAAACAATTACGTTAATTTTCGATTGTTAATTGGGGTATTAATTTTGAGGTTGTGAATGCTACTTTAACGTCATCCTGTACAATACGAGTAACAGTAAAATTTATCGCCTAATGAGCCACTGCCACCAGATGAGTAATCTTTGACGTCATTTGAAAATGGTCGTCCTCCAATATTAAAAAACTCACGCAAATTAAAAACCGTATTTATTGATATTTACAACAAATTTAAACGATTATATGAATTTCGAAACAATATAGAGATGTAAGTAGTCAATTTTGCGTAACGAGTTAAAAAATTACCCATCTCAAATTTGCGCTTTAACGGATCAAGGCCCTTCGAGTTAATTTTCATTTGCCTCCTTCGAAGACGATTTTCTACGCTTTGACGTACAAAATCGGGCGTAAATTCTTTTATCGAAAGTAATAAATATGTAGGTGGCTGATTCTATAAATATCACTTGTGCTATTAAACCGGCATTATCCACTATTAATAAACTTTCTTTTAGATTTTTTTAATGATATGATATAAAAATGCCTGTGTTATCACCACGTAGAAGTAGCGCCTCACCGCTTACGGGAACGTATAGATCGACTTCGTCCACAATAGACCGACCATTTTACAATAGCACCTCCAACTCGTACGTGCCGCGCATTAGCAGCTATAGCGAACGATACACCACACGAAGCTACATCGATTCGGATGGGCGTAAAGTGATATCGAGGTTAGTACGTCTTAAACCAAATCGGCCCACTGTATTGGTTGTCGTTTCTTAGACAAGGTAGCATCACCGAGGATGGGATCACGACAAGATTCAAGGAGGAGACGCGCGAAAGTTCCGTTAGACGCGATTCAATCTCGCGCGACTCCGGCATAAGTTCCCTCCGCGACAGCTCACTGACCCGTACCGACCCGAGAGTGTCGGCGATAAGCGTCGCCGAATCCGTCGCGGAAATGCGCAACAAGTACTCGCCTTCAAATTATGTGCCGGCGTGTCTACGAAACGTCGACAATATCTCACGATCGAAAAGCATAAACGATATAGGAAAGCCGCCGCTCGAACGCGAGAAGGCGACGAAGTACAAGGTAAATGACGGCTTGAGTTACAGTAACGGCTTGGGTGTGACAAATTCTAACAATACTAACAGTCTGGAGAAGATGTGCGACAACGTGCTCAGCCTGAACGAGGACGACAACGGCAATCGGACGGCGTCCGTCGCCGAAATACGCAAAAAGTTTGATCAAAGCAATCTGCACAAAACTTCAAAGAACGACCTTACGATCGAAGGTATCGGCGTGAAGATATCCGAAAATCGCTTCAAGAAGCAGGACAGTCTCGACAAGCACAAGATTAAAAACGGTTCGCCGAAGATGGGCGACGAGAAGCGGCCGGCGAAATTGTCCAAGTTGGAGGTGCACGAGCGGTCCGCCATGGACGACAGCGCGGATCTGTCAAACTTCGACAAGTGCTTGGCGGCCGATCTCACGAAAGGCACAAAATTAAATCAGTTTACTAGCGATACCGAAAACGGACACGAGAATTCCGATGTTCTAGTCGACGATGGATACCGAAATTTTAATCACACGAGTAATTTCGCGTCGTACATACCGTCGATGAGCGTCAACCAGGGCAACGGGGACTTCGTCAAGGATGAGATTTCGATAGATGAAGGGAATGATATGGAAAATCGGAATTTACGTAACGAAAATAGTCGCTATCACAAGGCAAAAGTTAATGTAAGTACAGGCCGCGTGTCGCAAATTTATTTATAGCTCGTACTTGACATTCAAAAATAATTATTTAGTTTAAAAGAGAATTATTGAGTGACCATGTCCGTTACAAATCTCACCTACAGCATCTCCGTAAGTTGTGTTGTGTGTTTTTTCTTCATTTCGCCGTTACATAATTAACTGCCTGTTTAAAAATAGACCAACCACCATTTTCATAATTTTCACCTTTCCAATGTCTAATTTCTACGTTGATTTTTTGATGTGGTATTTTTGGAATGGAGCCTTAATTTTGTTATTGTTTGGATTTGTGTCGGGCATCGCCGAGAGTTTTTATACAGCGCACAAAACACAATCTATCTATTCTCATTACTATTACCGACTCGAGGTATGTCACCTAAATGATCTACTTATTTATATATCATGTCGAGCTCCTTTCAAGGACTTTATTCTTACTGCCATTACTTGGGTATGTGGGATTCATTTTTGTGTCATTGTAAAAGTAGGGCGTACAAAAAAAATTTGATGGATGGAGGGGACCAAAGCAAACTTTTTCCAAAATATTTCCTTTTGTCAGATTTGTGTTTCTTTTTTACATTTTTTCTCAGAAATCATGAAGTAGAGAGAAAACTAACAGCTTTCCTAGGTTTTGGAGTTAAATTTAGATATAGTTTTTAAAAATTTAAAGAAACAAATGAAATTACTGCACTAGATACATTGGAAATGGAAGAGTTGTTACTCGTCTATTTAGTTCCGTAAAGAGACCACAGGGGGCTTTTAGATTAGATTCAACAAATTCAATGCATATGTTTTCTTGTTTAAGTATCCCTTGTATACAGGGTATCTTAAATTGAGTAGGATAGCATGACTATCTTTTATAGTTGTTCCACCTAAGTGACTGAATGTGCTGCCACACCCTGTCGAATTGTGGTACTATATTATGATTATTCAATTGGTTTGTGTATTCTCTAATTTAAAGAATCTCTGCAATGACCCTCTCACCTTTACTTATTTAGATCAAATTACATTTAAAGGGAAATGCAATAATATATCCGTGTGGGCGGCTATGAGAATTTAGATTACGTTAAGCGAATATTACGCACTCTTATCGCAGAGGTGGAATATTAAATCGTAATTTGTAATTCAACAATTTTTCTCATAAGTACTTTAATGTATTCTTTACATATGATTTTCAAATTAGGCCAGCTCCTAAACGAATGCATCAATCGTGGAGATTTTTTAGGACGTGTAAGATACATATTGAACTTAGGTCTGAGTATACATTAAAATTTAACCATTTACTTTAAACTTGTAAAAAAAATAAATAAATTTGCGTGCCGCGCAACCTCGACTTTGTGAGGCCATAAAGTATTTATTTCTAATAATTTAGTAATGTAATAGGTATCCACGCCTAAGTTGGGGTCTTCATCAATGATAACTGAAGAAATCATCTAAATTGATCCATTCGTTTGGGTACTGGCCTTAATCAAAATTTATTTGACACAATTTGGTATATTTAAAGACGGTTCTGGGGTTGGTAACTTTACTGCAGGTAAATGCTCCATTAATTATTCAAATTACTTGGAACATTACATTGTATCGCAGATACTGGCGATTAACCTTTTGCCTGATAAATATGTAAGTTAATCACAGGCCGTGGGCGTTAAAAATTTTATTTATAGTCCAAAGCAATGCATTGGGGATATAACAGCTGTATATTCATATTTGTAAAGATAATACTACTGTTTCTTCATTCCGGTTGTAATTGATACCTATCCTATCTGTTCATGCAAGAATAACTATTTTTTTTTTCCTCTCTATAATTCAATAATTCAAAATGAATTTTATTTTGATATATAAAAACGATTCGGTTATGGGTAACGGTACCCAAAAATCCTTGACGTATATCCGTGTGCGTGCGGTGCGCAAGAACGACCCTACCATGTTTGAACAGAAGATACATACAAATAGACGACAATCGTGCGCGCAGAGCTACAAGTGTGACTAGTTTGGGGCCCCATTTTACAACATCGTCAAACCTTAAGGTAGGTGCCAAACCCAATTAATAATTGACATCGTTTATTCGTTAATTTGTTAATTTAATTTCTACATGTTGGGCAACAGACATTTTTACAGCCCATTAACAATATTATTCTTGTTGCGCTAACATTTTGGTCCTTCGAGCCGGATAATTTGTTTCGATTTGTACACGTATCTAACCATCTTGAATGGCAATTTCATTTCAATTTCGTATAAGTACATTTTTACATGCGTCAATTGTTAACCTTATCCATTAGGTGCGCGCTTATCGTTAGATTGTAGTCTTTGTTGGACAGTGCCGGCTATTTGAAAATTGTTTATCGCTACATCCCATCCTATCCTTATTTATTACGTAAATTTATAAATTAATTTGTACTTTGGCAATATGGCAATGGCAGCAGAAAACTTAAAAAGACTTGAGGCGAAGAGGTCCCTTTACGCTTCTAGAATTACAGAAGCTTATCGCTCAGGCACATCAGCTCGAACGGATCTATTAGAACGTTCTCAGTTTAAGGCTAGATTCGAAGGTTTGGAACGTGCGTTTGAAAAATTCGGTGAAATTCACAATAATATTATAATGTTACTCAAAGAAGATGAGGAATTTGAAGGTCAGGATATTGTTCGTAGGGAAATTGATACCTTTTATTACAAGACTAAAGCGCTTTATAACGATATGTTCCAGGCTTCTGTTTCGGTTGAAAATGCGCCTCCTCCAGTTGTAAGAAATGAGTCGAATGTTAAATTACCCAAAATCTCTATCGCGGTCTTTGACGGAAATTTGAAAAATTGGCCTACCTTTTACGATTTATTAAAAAAATTAATTGACGAAAACATCTCTTTAGCCAATATTGAAAAATTTCAATACTTGTTGTCTTTTGTTGATAAAGCGCCCTTGAATTTATTAAAAGGTGTTCCATTAACTGAAGATAATTATTCTATAGCGTTTGATAGTTTGGTTAATAGTCCAGGAAATAGAGACTGAAAATGGACCATTTCCTGCAAAACGAGAAGTAGTTCCAATTTTTTTTGCATGTCATGAAAGAATATCTGGTGGTTAAGAATACAAGTTTTCGACCTCCCACCCCTTGTGCTTCCCCCGTACCACCCTTAAAACCAAAGAAATTTGGTTGGTTTTTTAGTTTTTCAATCATATCTTTTTATAGTTCATTTTACAAAAAAATATTTTTATCAGAAATTGTAGACTATAAAATTCTACACAACTTTTATACGCACTACTTTTTTGAAAAATGTTTATTAAAAACGATATCGAGCTACAGAGTTGCTTATATTTTTAATAATTCTGAAATTTCTATGTAGATGTTTTAACCAAATTTTATACTTTATCTCTATAATTAAGAGTTTTATGAGAAAATATCTTGAACTTATCGTGATATAAATCCCCCTACGCTGCACCCTTACCAAAGGGGATGCATAATAATTCAACTTTCAACCCTTGCTAGTGGGGATATTTGAATCACTGTGAGATTGTAGGGCTTTCTAATATACGTTTGAAACAAAAAAATTATCTCACTTCAGTTCAGCTTCATCCTTCATATCCTTCATCCCCCCCCCCTCCCCCCAACCGCGGTAGGAATAGATATTTAAAGAGGAATAGAAAACATATGTAATAAGCGTTGTACTCTCTGACTAACTTCACAATCGCCACAAGAGCGTTTAAATATCTATTCCTACCGCGCGAGGGGAGGGGGTGAAACTGAACTGAAGTGAGACAATTTTTTAATTTCAAAAGTATATTAGAAAGCGCTACAATCTCACAGTGATTCAAATATCCTCACTAGCAAGGGTTGCAAGTTTCATTATTATGCATCCCCTTTGGTAAGGGTGCAGAGTAGAGGGATTTATACCACAATAAATTCAAGATATTTTGTCGTAAATCTCTTAATTATAGAGATAAAAGTATGAAATTTGGTTAAAACATCTACATAGAAATTTCAGAATTCTTAAAAATATAACCAACTCTCAAGCTCTATATCTTTTTTAATAAACATTTCACAAAAAAGTAGCGTATATCAAAGTTATGTAGAATTTTATGCTCAACAAGTTCTGATAACAATATTTTTTTCTAAAGTGAACCATTAAAAAGACATGATTGAAAAACTAAGAAACCAACCAAATTTCAGTGGTTTTGGGGGTGGTACGGGGGAAGCACAAGGGGTGGGAGGTTGAAAACTTAGATTCTTAACCACCAGATGACTGTCTATGACATGCAAAAGAAATTGGAACTACTTCTCATTTTGCAAGTTAAAACCCTCTATTCCCTGGACTATAAGCGTTATCAAAATAAACCGATACAACGAAATATCGAAGGATCCTCAGTATTACAATCACTTTTAACGACAATTTATTTTAATCTTACAAAATACATTTTATAGTTAAAAATGCATCAAATTCATGTCTTGGGCTTTGAGATAATGCTCTTGGTTTTTTTCCCAACGATCTTGGTGCATAAATAACGATTTTGACATGTTTTGATCAAAATCCATGTGGTCCATAAAAATAGATCAAATTCATGTTTAGATCATTGAGATAATGCTCTTGATCTTTTTCCCAACGATCTTGGTGCATAAATAACGATTTTGACATGTTTTGATCAAAATCCACGTTTTCGCCAAAAATTCATCAAATTCATGTCTTGGGCATTGAGATAATGCGCCTAGTCTTTTTCCCAAATGATCTTGGTGCATAAATAACGATTTTGACATGTTTTGATCAAAATCCACGTGGTCGCCAAAAATGCATCAAATTCATGTCTTGGGCATTGAGATAATGCGCCTAGTCTTTTCCCAACGATCTTGGTGCATAAATAACGATTTTGACATGTTTTGATCAAAATCCACGTGGTCGCCAAAAATGCATCAAATTCATGTCTTGGGCATTGAGATAATGCGCGTAGTCTTTTTCCCAACGATCTTGGTGCATAATTAACGATTTTGACATATTTTGATCAAAATCCATGTGGCCTCAGAAAAATAATTTAACATTTTTGAATCACACACATGCGGTTATCAAACGTGCACGTTATCAACTCTTTCAGCATCAAGATAATGCGTTTGAAAGCTTTTACAACTCTAAATTCATGTGTAAAGAATAATTTTGGGTACATTTTGTTCTAAAACTTTTGACCGAGACCACAGAGAAGAGTTATATTGAATTGTTACACATCTAAGAGTCATAGGGAATAATCTAGCGAAAGTCCGAACTCGATACATGACCTAGAGAATGAAATATGTTAATTTTTATCATATTGAGTTCGCAGTTTTTCCTGTTCCCGATTCACTCGAAGTCGTATAACTTTTGTTCCTGTTGAACCAGCTTCCTGAAAATCAATAGCGTCCGTTCTTAATGTCCAACGTACCCGTATACCAAATTTCAACACAATCGGCCACTTTTAAAAAGAGTTAGAGCGCACACGGACGGACGGACGGACGGACGGACGGACGACAATACAAAACTATAAAGGATCTGAGGATCCTTAATAAACGATTATTGGCTACCAACGCCTTAAATGAAATGAGCAGCATAACTTTAAAAAATCCTTCTGCAAAAGAATTTAGGGCACTTCTAGACACATTTAGTGAATCGGTGTCGTCATTAAAGGTTTTAGGTTTTGCAGTAGAGCATTGGGATTTCCTTTTATTAAGGATCCTCAGATCCTTTATAGTTTTGTATTGTCGTCCGTCCGTCCGTCCGTCCGTCCGTGTGCGCTCTAACTCTTTTTAAAAGTGGCCGATTGAGTTGAAATTTGGAGTACGGGTTCTTTGGACATTAAGGACGGACGCTATTGATTTTCAGGAAGCTGGTTCAATAGGAACAAAAGTTATAGTACTTCGAGTGAATCGGAAACAGGAAAAACTACGGGCTCAATATAATAGAAATCAACATATTTCATTCCCTAGGTCATGTATCGGGTTGGGACTTCCGCTAGATTATTCCCTATGACTCTTAGATGTGTAATACTTTAATATAACTCTTCTCTGTGGTATAGGTCGAAAGTTTTAGAGCAAAATGTAGCAAAAATTACACTTTATACATGAATTTAGAGTTTTAAAAGGTTTCAAACGCATTATCTTGATGCAGCAAGAGTACATCACGTGCACATTTGATAACCGCATGTGTGTGATTCAAAAATGTTAAATTATTGCCATATGGGTTTTGATCAAAATAATCAAAATCGTTATTTATGCACCAAGATCGTCGAGAAAAAGACTAGGGGCATTATCTCAATGCTCAAGACATAAATTTGATGCATTTCTGGCGACCACATGGATTTTGATCAAAACATGTCAAAATCGTTATTTATGCACCAAGATCGTTGGGAAAAAGACTAAGAGCATCATCTCAATGACCGAAACATGAATTTGATCTATTTTTGGCGACCACATGAATTTTGATCAAAACATGTCAAAATCGTTATTTATGCACCAAGAACGTTGGGAAAAAGACCAAGAGCATTATCTCAATGATCAAAACATGAATTTGATCTATTTTTGGCGACCACATGGATTTTGATCAAAACAAGATTAAGAGCATTATCTCAATGGCCAAGACATGAATTTGATGTATTTTGTAACATTAAAATAAATTATCGTTAAAAGTTATTGTAATACTGAGGATCCTTCGATATTTCGTTGTATCGGTTTATTTAATAATCTTTTACAAAAATTGGACGTAGCTACGCGTACAGATTTTGAAGTGGAGTACGGAGCGAAAGAAATGCCTACCTTTCAAAACTTGAGCGATTTTCTGGAAAATAAATGTAAAGCGTTAGAATCTGTACAGCATTTACCCTCAGCGAGTACTTTGAAAGTAATGCGTAAAAGTAACAATTATTCGTCCTCCTCCTTTGTAAACACTTTATCAACAAACACCTGCTTAATGTGTAAGGGTGACCATTATATATCCCAATGTCCGTCTTTTCTCGCCAAGCAAACTGCAGATAGATTTTCTTCTGTAAAAAATAATCGCTTATGTGTAAATTGTTTACGCCCTTCTCATCAAGTCAAAACGTGCACTTCGCGTTATCGGTGTCGAACGTGTCAACGTCGTCATCATTCTCTTCTTCACGTTACAAGAACCGCAACTGATTCAAGTGTGGAAGCAGTTGACTCTTCGTTTTCAGAACTTCCAGCTGCTACTCCGTCTGGTGTATCGACCAGTAGTGCTACCACTACTTTAACCAGCACTTTGGGACATGAAACTGTTGTTCTATTAGCAACTGCTATCGTAGATATTTTTGACGCTAAGGGCAATACTCATGCTATTAGAGTATTGTTGGATTCTGCTAGTCAGGCAAATTTTATTACCGAAAAATGTGCTAATCGTCTTTGTTTAACTAAACGATCTTTCACTACTGCGATTTTTGGATTAAATCAGATGCACTCTATTTCTGCCAAGGGTGTCGCGGCATGTGCTATCCAACCCCATAAGGCTACTGGACCTACTTTTTCGTTTGACGCGATCGTTATTTCAAAATTGTGTCAGGATTTACCGACTTTTAACATCAATGCTCAAAATTGGAAACACTTAGATAATTTGGAATTGGCAGATGGTAATTTCCACGCTGATAAATCAATTGATTTGCTCATCGGAGCAGAAGTTTTTGCTCACGTTCTTAAAGAAGGCCGGATAATTGGCAAACAGGGCGAACCCACGGCTTTGAATACCGTTTTCGGGTGGGTTTTGCTGGGGAAAATTCATAGTTCTCGTGAGACCACTAAAAGGGTAGAAACTTATTGCACTTATATTAATGAAGCCACTCTACCTGAGACTTTACATAAATTCTGGGAAGTAGGTGAGATTTCCTCTAAATTACCCTATTCTTCCGAGGACGCACAGTGCGAACTAATTTATCGGGAAACCGTGTCTCGTACTCGCGAGAAGGCCGGTTTATGGTTACTCTTCCGTTCAAAAATTCTGAACCTGATTTAAGAAATACCTTCCCTTTGGCTCATCGAAGATTTTTACTTTTGGAAACTCGTTTACTTAAAAATCTTGACTTGTATAACGCTTACTCTTCATTTATGCGAGATTACCTTAAAAATGGTTACATGTCGGTAGTGGATCTAACCAAGAGTTCGTCATCTTTGTGTTATTATCTCCCCCACCATGGAGTATTAAAATCAGAAAACACAACAACAAAATTACGCGTTGTTTGTGATGCGTCTGCAAAAGGCCCAAAGGGACTATCCTTAAACGATAGGTACATTACTAACCGGACCTAAGTTACAAAAGGATATTAGTGCACTTTTGTTGACCTTTCGTTACCATCCTATAGTATTTACCGCAGATATTAAGCAAATGTATCTACAGATTCTCGTAACGCCTCAACATAGAGACTATCAACGAATCTTGTGGCGTTTTTCACCTAATGACCCTATATCGGTATATCGTTTAAACACGGTGTCATTCGGAATATCATCGTCACCTTACCTTGCAATAAGAACTTTAAACGAATTGGCAGAGAGAGAAACGGAAACTTATCCCTTGGCATCCAAAATAATTAAGAATCACATTTATATTGACGATATTCTCGCAGGCAGCACTTCGCTTGCTGACGCCCTTGAAGTTCAAAAACAATTAATTGCTCTTCTCAAATGTGGTGGATTTGAATTGCGAAAATGGGCTAGCAATAACCAAACTTTACTTTCTGAAATTCCTGAGGATTATAGACAGCCGTCAGTTTCGTTTGACAAAGAAGAACCTAGTTTTATTAAAGTGTTGGGTCTTCATTGGAATCCTGATAAAGATTCCTTTTCGTATAAATGCCAACTAAATGATAAACCCTGCACGAAACGGAACATACTATCCGACATTGCCAGAATATTTGACCCGCTGGGGTTTTTAAGTCCTATTACGCTTCTAGCAAAAAATTTAATGCAACGTCTTTGGGAGTCTAAAACCAACTGGGATGAAGTGCCAGCCAATAGCATTGTCAAAGTTTGGAGGCAACTAAAACAAGAAATGCAATTGGTGTCAAATCTTAATATTCCTCGATGTATTGTTCCCAGAAACGCTAGCAGATACGATCTTCATGGATTTTGTGACGCCTCTACTGTCGGGTACGCCGCTGTCGTTTTCTTAAGAACAGAATCCACGCATAACACAATTGATACTTATCTGATTGGTGCCAAATCTAAAGTCGCTCCCTTAAAAACTCTCTCGATTCCACGCTTAGAATTATGTGGAGCCGTACTGTTGGCGAATCTAATTACATTCATTACATCTACATACTCTCAGTACATAACCTTTGATACGATTACAGCTTGGTCAGATTCGCAAGTGGTGTTAGCTTGGCTCTCATCGTCCCCACATAAATGGAAAACGTTTGTGGCCAATAGAGTTAACCACATTCAAGATATTTTACCATCTTCTATTTGGAAGTATATTCCTTCTGAGAGCAATCCCGCCGATTGCGCTTCACGGGGTATAATGCCACAAAGATTAATAAATCATCACATGTGGTGGAATGGTCCCCCTTTTCTGAGTATTCCGCGTGACGAGTGGCACTTCGATATTGATAAATGCTCTCATGCTGAAACGGAACTGGAGGTTCAACAGGAAGAAAATAGTACTTTGTGTACCAAGGCGGGAAAGTGGTTGTTTTCCGGGGCGAAGGAAGATATGGCCAGGCGAGGCGCAGCCGAGGCTGGCCACTTCCTGAGGCCCGGAAAACAACTTTCGTGCCGTGGTGCACACAATATTTTTTATCCTATACACTTACATTTAAAATTAATCCCTCAACAACGTCCGACCGCAAGCGCTTGAAATTGGATTTGCTTTAACGCGTCAACGTGCACGCGTTTGTTTTGTTTATTTCCACGTTTCCTGCTACTACGCGAAAAAAATTTTACGAAACCTAAGTGCGCCCACGAGTATATTTTTTACTCGTAGATTTACCCCTTTCCCTTATAATACAGTTCAACGCAAATTCAAATTCTAGCGCGCTTGCGATTGCACAGTGCGCAGTCGCCGAAGGGAGTCACGGTGCAACAGAGCAGAGGTACAAGTGGAGAATACCATTGAATAAAAACAGTATAAGAAGCCTAACCCCGTGGAAATAAAGCGCGACAGAGATTGAACTGAGAATATAATGGAAACACTGTCAATAGTGTCGATTCTTGAACTGAGAAGAATGAGAATTTGCTTTCCTCCTATTTACCGCAAAGAGAGTTCGGCGGTCACAACCAATGCGGGTGCAAGGGGATTTGTCGCGCTTTCTTCCATTAAGCGTTAGGCTTCTTATAGTGTTTTTATTCAATGAGAATACCAATCATGTGCGAACTGAGTTGACATTTCCGGCATTTCACTGGCGCGTGATTATTTCCTTTTGAAAATAACGGGATTTAAGGGATTGTAATTAATACCAGGCGCATTTGAAATTATTACTGGTCTTGTGTATTAACAAATGTGTTTTAAAATTGAATGTGTGTTTTCAGGGACAAAATCACACCGGTTACATTTTAAATCCTTGGCAGGATCCATGTCTTGTCAAATGTTAGATGCTTTTAAGACTGGCTGGATTTATGCTTGGTGACGAACGCGCAATGGGCACACTTTAAATCTTGATGATCTTGTATTTTAAAAAAATGTGTTTTATAAATAGATTTATTCATTCCTTACAGTCACACTGGACACATTTTAACTTCGGGGTAGTCTCGTATGTTAAAATGCTACTTATTGCGGATAAGCGGGATAAGCGGTGTTCTACTTACAGTGCAAAGTACATCTTGGTGTTAAATGTATTGACACAGATGCTCGTTATTGAAAGTAAATGGAAGATTATGACTTAAGTTTGAAACGTTTGAATTGGTCACGTGATGTTGGGGAAGTATTCAAATTCACGAAACATTGATAGGTATAATTATAGAGGTTCGCGGTAATTAAATAAATTCTTGAATTCAGTCAAATAAAGTGAACATAGGGTAAATTTAATTATTAAATCAGTGTTGACGATTTTATGTTTCTTATTTAATTAAAAAGAAATAACTTCTTTGACATTTTATTACAACCGCGCCATCTAGCTTACATAAGGCGTATTTTTTTTCTCGCCTAGCCGACAAAATTGAATTTTCTCGCTCCATGTGTGCAATTGTCTTCTTTCGCGTCCTCACAGAGGCGAGAAAATGTAAGTTTCTCCTTGTATAGGATAAAAAAATATTTAGTTCACTCCAGTGCGGTAATTACCAACATGGTAGATCGCTTGTTAGAGCGTTTCTCATCTCTTACTTACATCCAACGAATCTTGGGATACACTTATCGCTTTATACATAATTGTCGTCATCCTACGGACAAACATTCAGGATCTCTTACTTCTAAAGAATTGCGCGCGTCTTTAATGTACTTGGTAAAACATGTCCAAACCCACAATTTCGGCAACTTACTTGAGAAAATTCAGAAAAATCAACTATTGCCAAAACCATTCCGTAGGCTTGCGCTTTTTATGGACCGAGATGGTTTCCTGAGGGTGGGCGGCCGAATTCGAAATTCTAATTTGCCATTTTCGGCAAAACATCCTTTATTATTACCCCGGTCCCATCGCCTAACCGCTTTAATTATTGAAGCGAATCACCGCAAATATTTACACCCTGGATCAAAAACATTGCATTATTTATTATTACAACAGTATTGGATTTTATCCGCACGTAGGGCAATCCAGGAAACTCTGGCAAAATGTGTGCAATGTTTCAAAGTTAAACCTAAGTCTTACACCCCTTTTATGGGTGACTTACCGTTTCATAGAATTTCCTCCCTTAAAGCATTCTCTTATGTCTCCCTTGATTATTGCGGTCCCTTTTTTATTACAATGTGTCGGAGACGCGGTTTGAAGGCAAACAAAGCTTACGTTTGTGTTTTTGTGTGTAATGCCACCAAGGCGGTGCATTTAGAAGTCGTTTCGGACTTATCGGCGGAAGCCTTTATAGCGGCTTTTAGAAGATTCGTAGCGCGTCGCGGTTGCGTCTCTCATGTTTATAGCGATAATGCTACCAACTTTGTTGGAGCGCATAATATATTTATCGAAAATGCACGTTTAGCCGCTCAAGAATTAGAAATTCAGTGACATTTTAGTCCCCCTTCCGGGCCCCATTTTAATGGGCTCGCCGAAGCAGGTGTTAAATCGATTAAAACCCATCTACTTAGAGTAGTTGGAGAACAGCGACTCAGTTTAGAAGAGTTTTCTACATTGCTGTGCCAAATCGAATCGCTACTTAATTCCCGACCGATCTGCTCCCATAGCACCGCATCATTAACCCCTGGTCATTTTTTAACGATAGATCCATTAAATTCCATACCGGATCCTGACATATCTCATTTAAAATTAAACACCTTAAATCGCTGGCAATTTCTACAACGGCTACATGCTGAATTTTGGAAACGGTGGCATGTGGAATATTTGAATACTTTACAACAGCGTTCAAAATGGTTAGATCCGGGTAACCCGATTGAGCTCAATACTTTAGTTCTTATTAAAGATGATTGCAAACCACCTTTACAATGGTCTTTAGGACGCGTTATTGCTCTTCACCCTGGTGAAGATGGTTACCGTAAAAACGGCAAAGGGTACTTTGCGTAGACCCATCGGTAAACTTTGCCCTTTACCAATTAATTAATTAAATGTTTTTTTTTGTTTTTTTTTTGTGATTTGCTTTAAGTAGTAATTTCTTGTTATTTTCAAAATTATTTAGTTAAACACTCTTCGTGTTGGTGGGCGGAATGTTCATGCAAGAATAACTATTTTTTTTTTCCTCTCTATAATTCAATAATTCAAAATGAATTTTATTTTGATATATAAAAACGATTCGGTTATGGGTAACGGTACCCAAAAATCCTTGACGTATATCCGTGTGCGTGCGGTGCGCAAGAACGACCCTACCATGTTTGAACAGAAGATACATACAAATAGACGACAATCGTGCGCGCAGAGCTACAAGTGTGACTAGTTTGGGGCCCCATTTTACAACATCGTCAAACCTTAAGGTAGGTGCCAAACCCAATTAATAATTGACATCGTTTATTCGTTAATTTGTTAATTTAATTTCTACATGTTGGGCAACAGACATTTTTACAGCCCATTAACAATATTATTCTTGTTGCGTTAACACTATCATTCTTACCTCCAAATTGCTGTAAAAATAAAAACTTCATAATTTCACTAATTTTTACAAGTTCGAAGTAATTAGTAAAGAGTACAATTTTAGTATAAGTACAAGGTGAGTCAACGATTGCGCGGAGTAACTTAATGCCTTGAAGATAAGATTTTTCGATAGAGTGCTTTTGTATTATGATATGGTTGAATATTCTCCACATTTTAAAAATATTTCGAATTATACAGGGTGCGCCCACAAAGTAGGGCGCTAAAATGGTACATTTTTAGCGCATTTCCACAAAAATAAAAAAAAATGCGCTATTGTGGCCACTTTGTCCGTCCGTCCGTCCGCTAACTTTGCGACGCTACTAGTTTTTTTATCTTAAGAGCTATTGTTCTACTTTTTTCGCTATTTGGTTCGTTATGGTGTCTAGTCTTGTACCAAGGAAGGAATTTTTTCTGTACCGCTTACAAAAAAGTTATTGTAAAAAAAACAAAAAACCGTTTTTTACATGTTCCATAATTTTACACTTTTGCCGTTTATTAACGATCCTAGAGATCGTTTATTATTTTGCATTGCTATCTGTCGCCTGCCGGTTGGTCTCTCCGTCTGTTTCTTTGTCTGTCTGTCCATCTATCTGTCCGTGTGAACGATAACTTTGTTTAGAAATGTTCGATCGCTTTTACATCTCCGTTAGTTATGAAACTGAATTGCATGAAATTCAATATGGGCATAGATTTAGCCATATAATACGCAATGCCAAAAGTTGGATCGAATCGATTCAAAATTCACAGTGCCCTTTTCGCATCTCGACCATTTATAAACCGAATTGCAAACAAAATTACAAAAGTATTTGAATGAAATTTGATACATAGGCACTTGGGATAAAGGAAAATCAAACGCCAATTTCAAAATTTGGTTTTGCGCATGCGCAGTGCCAAATTTTTTATTTATGGAAGAATTTAAACGAAATTTGATACATAGGCACTTGGGATAAAGGAAAATCAAACGCCAATTTCAAAATTTGGTTTTGCGCATGCGCAATGCCAACTTTTTTATTTATGGAAGAATTTAAACGAAATTTGATACATAAGCACTTCGAATAAAGGAAAATCAAACGCCAATTTCAAAATTTGGTTTTGCGCATGCGCAGTGCCAATTTTTTTATTTATGGAAGAATTTAAACGAAATTTGATACATAGGCACTTGGAATAAAGGAAAATCAAACGCCAATTTCAAAATTTGGTTTTGCGCATGCGCAGTGCCAACTTTTTTTATTTATGGAAGAATTTAAACGAAATTTGATACATAGACACTTGGAATAAAGGAAAATCTAACGCCAGTTTCAAAATTTAGTTTTGCACATGCGCAGTGCCAACTTTTTTTATTTATGGAAGAATTTAAACGAAATTTGATACATAGGCACTTGGAATAAAGGAAAATCAAACGCCAATTTCAAAATTTGGTTTTGCGCATGCGCAGTGCCAACTTTTTTATTTATGGAAAAATTTAAACGAAATTTGATACATAGGCACTTGGGATAAAGGAAAATCAAACGCCAATTTCAAAATTTGGTTTTGCGCATGCGCAGTGCCAACTTTTTTATTTATGGGAGAATTTAAACGAAATTTGATACATAGGCACTTGGGATAAAGGAAAATCAAACGCCAATTTCAAAATTTGGTTTTGCGCATGGGCAGTGCCAACTTTTTTATTTATGGAAGAATTTAAACGAAATTTGATACATAGGCACTTGGGATAAAGGAAAATCAAACGCCAATTTCAAAATTTGGGTTTGCGCATGCGCAGTGCCAACTTTTTTATTTATGGAAGAATTTAAACGAAATTTGATACATAGGCACTTGGGATAAAGGAAAATCAAACGCCAATTTCAAATTTGGTTTTGCGCATGCGCAGTGCCAACTTTTTTATTTATGGAAGAATTTAAACGAAATTTGATACATAGGCACTTGGGATAAAGGAAAATCAAACGCCAAATTCAAAATTTGGTTTTGCGCATGCGCAGTGCCAACTTTTTTATTTATGGAAGAATTTAAACGAAATTTGATACATAGGCACTTGGGATAAAGGAAAATCAAACGCCCATTTCAAAATTTGGTTTTGGCGCATGCGCAGTGCCAACTTTTTTATTTATGGAAGAATTTAAACGAAATTTGATACATAGGCACTTGGGATAAAGGAAAATCAAACGCCAATTTCAAAATTTGGTTTTGCGCATGCGCAGTGCCAACTTTTTTATTTATGGAAGAATTTAAACGAAATTTGATACATAGGCACTTGGGATAAAGGAAAATCAAACGCCAATTTCAAAATTTGGTTTTGCGCATGCGCAGTGCCAACTTTTTTATTTATGGAAGAATTTAAACGAAATTTGATACATAGGCACTTGGGATAAAGGAAAATCAAACGCCAATTTCAAAATTTGGTTTTGCGCATGCGCAGTGCCAACTTTTTTATTTATGGAAGAATTTAAACGAAATTTGATACATAAGCACTTCGAATAAAGGAAAATCAACGCCAATTTCAAAATTTGGTTTTGCGCATGCGCAGTGCCAACTTTTTTATTTATGGAAGAATTCAAACGAAATTTGATACATAGGCACTTGAGATAAAGGAAAATCAACGCCAGTTTCAAAATTTGGCTTTGCGCATGCGCAGTGCCAACTTTTTTATTTATGGAAGAATTTAAATGAAATGTGATACATAGGCACTTGGAATAAAGAAAAATCTAGCGCCAGTTTCAAAATTTTTTTGCGCATGCGCAGTTCCAACCTTCTTATTTAGAAAAGCATGGAAATGAAATTCTTCTCATAAACTGAAATTGAAGTAGCACGTCAAAAATGGATTGCCCATGTGCAACGCTATCTTCCATATTTGTGGCCGGATTTTTACGATTTTAACAGAAGTTGCATCTTACAAATGGGAAATGAATGCAAGTGGAAATGCGCTTTATGTAAATCGTTTACGATTACTTTTTAACTTGTTTGTCTTTTATATGTATTAATGTATATGTAAACGCATTGATTTTATTTTTGCATTTCAAATATACCTTCTTAGTTGTTTTTTTTGTTAAGGGATTTTTATCGTCACCTGCTTTTAAATTATTAAATAATTTTGCCCCCTCTGAATTTTGAGTTGCCCCCTCTGAAATTAACGTCTAGCTACAGGCCTGCTAGATACTAAAAAAAAGGTAACTATTACAACACTGAATAAGTGTTGTAAAACACAACTTCCTTTTCCTTCAAAATGACAATTATGAGACTGATTACAATATGATCGTGAATAATAGTTATTTACATAAAAGTCAGGAAAATGACACATTACTGGCGAGGAAATATTGAAGTACAAGGCCCCTTTAGGGCCGAGTACTTTAATTTCCGAGTCAGGTAATGTCATTTTACTGACGAGTTTTGTATTAAATTTTACCCGAAATCGTACTTTAACAACAATTTTCATATAGAACTTTTGATTAATGTCAATCTGTCAATGATGACAGGAGTCTTTATAGACATTTAGCAATGTGACAGGTGCGGCAGGTAAAGTGACAAGTGCGGCCGGTAAAGTGACAGGTGCGGCCGGTAAAGTGACAGGCGGCAGGAAAAGTAGACTGGTCTGCTTCCGTCATGGAAACTGACGCTTTCCTGACATAAAGTAGGCATGAAAATGAAGGTTGAAGGAAGATTGTTCGTTTTACGAAATGTAACCATGTTATCTGCCGGAGCTGCCAAAACAATTTACCCATTCACATTCAGAACAAAGACGGTACCTTCTACAAACATTGCTCCTTGTGCCGGAAAGTGTCTACATTACAGGAAATATCATAGGGAACTAAGTACTACCGGGAAGTTATTTTTATATTACTTTTTTGGGTCAATGTATCTACGGGATGCATATACGTAATTAATGGTACTTATCGTATTAGCCTTAACAATTAGTAATTTCAAAATGCATG